CCGGAGAAACAGTAGGCTCGGGGGTGTTAGAGTCGACGAGGAGGGGCTGTTCGGGCTGCAGCGAAGTGGGAGGGGGGTGTTTGAGGTCCTCCTCGTCCACGGTTTCCTCCACAGTGGGCTTGTGCACCTCGTCGCGGGCGTGCTGTTGTTCCAACATGGCAGCGAGGGATCCGCCGTTGGCAGTGGTTGTTGGTTCAGAAGCCATTACGAGAAATGGAGATTGAAAAGGTAAATCGGGGTTGGAGACAAGATTGGTAAATGGGCTATGCACAAGATCCTGCAATCACGGGCCTGGGTCAGTATGCAATCACAACAGATCAAGGTAGATCAGGACAGATCACCGTAAACCTCGAGTGCAATCAATGGCATGACCGGGACTTGGAAATAACTCACAGGTGAAAGTATATCCTTCCTCTTTTGTAATTGAGTGGGATATATAGCTTTTTCTTTCAGGAGAATGCGGATGCAATTCAATAAAATGCAATAGCAATTCGGACTGACAAAGCGCCGATAATTAAAAATGAAGGATACAGGGGCTCAAAGAGAGGAGCCACCTGAAAAGAAAGTGAGGAAAGGGGAGGTGGGAGAGAAGAAGAGAGGTGAGAGGTGAGAGGTGAGAGAGAAAGGTCGAGAACCCCGGATAATCCAGAAAGTACAGAAAAGGCCAGCTCGAGTCTCCGGGGGGTTTTTCTCCGAGTCCGTGACTACACTTTAGCCCTTTTTTCGTCACTTTGAACTCTTCTTTTTCTTTTAGAATTGAAAGCAATTGATAGTAATTTACCTTAAACTTGTCCAGGTGAATTTGAGCAATATCAATAGCTGTAATAGCTGTAATAGCTATAATAGCTGTTCTTCGCTCTCATTCGCATACGTGTTGCAATGCAATTCCAATCATGGTCCAATCTCAATAAATTGTCATTGCTTTTTTATAACTTATACTTTTATACTATTTTATATACCAGGATTAGATTCCACACGTGGCCACAGTGCGGCAAGTGGCCAATTGATGATGCACGTCACTGTGGCTACATCTTAATATATTTTGATGACATTCAATGACATTCAAGTGGACTAAATAATTTACCAACAATATATCTCCTATCAAAACTTAGCTTAGATTTCTGATGGGTTATGTGATATATCGCCCTTTAATCTTATGTATATTCATTTGAATTGGAGGACGGTGCTAGCAACGTTGCCTTTCTTCTTGGGATATCATATATCCCCAGGCTATGTCCACCGTGGCAACATCTTGACTATATCGGATCCAACCGGTCCGAAAACATTTCGAGTCTGGGGTTGGAGTGGCTCTTTTCCCTATTTTTATTCAGTGTGTCACTCTATGTTGACATTGATAGTAGTTATATAGTTCGATTTGAAGGGTTCTAGCACTGGGTGAAAAATTTATGGATCTATGGGTCCTATATAGATGTCAGTCTCAGTCTTTGCAAATATCCAAAAATGGACATCTCACTAGTTACAATCTAGATGCCTGTGACGATCCTTCTTGAAGGTTGGCTATGTATGCGGGCCTGGCCGCATTCCTACGTGATCTCGCTGGCTGGATTGTGGGCATGGTGGTAACATACTTTGTCGTTACGGGTGCCAAGATGATCGGGGAAAATGCCCTGACATGGAAACAGGCTTGCTACTATCTTGTAATCAGCACTCTGAATATTGAAGGTGGGGTATGTGAACTGGAAGATGTTCATGATGCGACCCGGGTGCATAGGATCTTGAATGCCAAAGATATGCATTACCCGATGACTATACATGGCTTTAAAAGCAGAAATCCTGCAGATATTCGAGGAGTAGATTGACCCAAATAATTATATCATGGTTATATTAGATAATTAAGAGTTCCCAGACACAAAAAGAAGCGCATCATGACAGAGATCAAGACGGCACGGGTATCGTATAAACGAGTGCAATACCTCCAAAAGTAGAGCCCAACCAACCATTGACAAGAAGAAGGAAAAGAATGTAAGAGAATATGTATCGGCCTCGCGGGCCCGCCACGAGAAATATGTGAATTAAGTGGCCTTCACGAAAGGCCAGCCATTCTCCCAGCCAAGTACGTTCCACGCGTATCTGTAGTTCGCGTTGTTGGGTTCCGTGGTGCTCTGCTTGGTAGCAAGTGGGTAGTAGTGGTAGTACATAACCACACCAAGGTCCTTGTCATTGACGACACCAGGGCCACCGGGTCCAAACACCTGGCCGTGGCTGGAGAGGAGCATGGTGCCACCGGTCTCCTTGCAGGACTTTCCGTCGGCGTCAACCTGTAGGATTAAAAATGTTAGAGTGGGTGACTTTGCGAATGGGTAAGAAGATTGGTAAACATACAAAGTCACCAAGACCGGTCGTGGATCGGCAAACACGAATGTGGTACTCGGCACCCTCAGCAGGGAATGTCTTTGTGTAACCGCCCGCAATACCAGCGGAGTAGAGGAGGTAGTAGTAGTCGCCGTACTTGAACTCATACGATCCCTCTTCGCGGTGGTTAAGCGTAGCATTCCAGGAGATTTGGTAGGGAGTGGCGCCCCCAACTTTCAGGGGAGTCTCCATCTGAACCTGGAAGATATCGCCCCAGAAGGAGCCAAAGTTCATATAGTTCTTGCCGCCGATGGTGATCCAGGCGGGATCGATACGGTTGTAGTTGTCATTTGCAGGGAGACCAACAGAGCCGTGGTCTGTCCAGCTACCAGGCTCCATGGTCTTGGATGTTGCTACACCGATCTGTGAGTTCTGGGTGCCGATCTTTGACAGGACGTAGTACATATAGTACTGATCGTTCTGGTAGTGAACATCAGGGGCCTATATGGTAGAGTACATTAGCTTTTGGATTTTATATTGCTTGCTGGCGGTTTTCAGGTTCTTACCCAGATATTCTTGCTGTCCACACCGTCAAGGGTAATCTTAGACCCATCTGGCAACGCCGAGCCAAGGTCCGTCCATGGACCCTTTACTGAAGGTGAGCTATGAGTGCTAACACCAGTGCCTGTCGAAAAGCGATAGTATTTCCCATCAGACACACGCTGGATCATGGCAGGGTCATGGGCCCAGCAGTCGCCTGTGCAAGGACCCCGGTTAGGGTATGCGCTGACAAGTGCAGTAAAGAGAAGCGGAACAAGACCAAACATGATGTATAGACAGAAGGAGAATCAGACTGTGAATTGTAAACATTCTGGGAAGGAGGAATTACGTCTCATTTATGTTGATTTGGTCTATGCCATGAGCAGCTCCCCTGGGTTGGGCCCCCGAAGTATGACCATTTCGTATATAAACAGCTGATCCAATCATCGGCTATCAACCCCTGTACATCGTATCTGGGCGATGTAAGGCGCATGTAAGTATTGAGTCCGGTCTAACTGGAGTCGGCCCCGAAAGGGATGAGCTCACTACCGAGTCCCAAGGAGTCCTGCTCCTGTGGATCCTTGGATTAGAAAAACAAGTGATTCCTGTATAAACAAAGAGGTACAATGGTGCATAGTGTATACATCTACGGACTATTCTGCACTGCATCGGCAATCTTATTTCATTTTGTGATGTCTCCCATTGTGCAAGGCGCATTTAACATAAATTGTGTTTAGCTTCACTCGATTAAATCCTCTGCAAATCTCCCCCACATGAGCTACACCGATAACCATCTGACCTAGAAACCTAGAAGCTAAAGGCCTCGGCAGCAGTCTCGGCATCAGGAACGGGATAGAAGATGTGTTGTTCGCTGCAAGTGCATGCTGGTTCCACATTCTCATCAGCAAGGGAGTGGGCATCTACCTTGACACTAGTGAATTCTATTCTCCTTGAGTGGTCAAGTCGACTTTGCAATTTTAATTCCATCCTCTATTCTCGTTATCTCCAAGAAAACCGTAGAATACATCATGTTCCACTAACTTGCGTGGCTTGACTCTTGTTTACGCCGTGTGGATGATCTGCGCCCATGTGGACCGATTGCGGACGATATCAAACCAATCATCTGCGAGGCCCTGTGCGTGAGGTCCGACACTAATTCAACTAGTATTTGAGATTGAAAAGAAGCTAAAGAAAAGAGTGCGTGTCATGCGCATTCGCCAAAGTCTGTGCAGATGATCAACTCTCATCAGAAGCGGGGGTTAGGACTCGTTTCGCCATGTTGACAGTGAATCACATCAAGTGCTAAAGACATATTCACTTGATTTGGCCTAAGAAAATGGCCGATTCAATCTGCACAACGAAAACAAATTCTCCGATATAACACGTCATTTACGCTATAATTTTCCCTATCAGACAACCGTGCTCTTGAGTCTCTTGGGCCTCGTTTTGCGCCCAACACCTGATATAGATACATTGTTTCTAATTTCAGTACGGAACAGTGTTTCTCTCAAGTAATCATACTCGTGCCAAGAACATCCAACTGGGCCGAGTCTCAATCTATAGTGGTTGAACATACCGCTATATTGGCAATCGGTGTCAAAGCGAGGCGGGGGCTGGTGATCTGGGGCCAGACTGGGGTAATTCGGGGCGGGTTGTGAGAGCCTCCTGGAGTAAAGTCTGATAGATCAGCATCACACTGCCGGGGCAGAGCACGAGGACAAGCAGCGGGTGTAGGGGAAATGTCTCTTGTTTTTTTACTGTTGTTTTATTTTTCTTTTCTTTCCCTCTCATACCCATCGAGGTTTGGCACATTCTCACACATTGCTGTCAAGGTGAACCAGAAACTATGCTAGATGTTTAGAGATCTTATATACAAATGTTAGCATACGACCTATGATAGAGTGAAAATGAGTTCAATTGGAAAAATCTAACAGACGTGTCCTTCTGATACTCCATGACACTAGGATGATCCTGTGAGGAGCAGCTGCAATCCTCAATGTTAAACACAAAATCCAGCCATAGCTGCCCACCCACATATCACCCGTTCTTCACTCTCAGCTCAAACCTCTCTGTATTTCAGTATTTGGGTCAAAGACCCCCCAACAAATCGTACATGGATGCCGCCCCTACCTTGATTATGGGGAGGCTCAGAGCCGAGTTGAATCAGTTCCCGGGCCTGACATGCTAGTCGGGTCTTGATACTGTGGGTTCCAGCGCTGCCAATCTGACTCGGGTTGGGGGAAAGGATATTGAGCACCGTCAAATGAACCCTGTTGCGGCACGAAATAGTTTGGCTGCATTTCCTGAGGAATGGGAGGGTAGCCCTGTTGCCAATATTCCTGCATTTGATCTTCCGTAACCTCGACCTGTTGCTTCCTTTCGATATCTTGGCTGATTATGTTCTTCAATTCTTTGATTTCCGTGAGTATCTCTCGGAGCAATTCAGTTTGCTCACTGTCGGTGACATTTGGGGTGGATCCAAGCGGGGAGAGATGGCTCGCATTCATGCTGCGAAGGCGAGAATATGGTTCTGGAGTCCTGGGGCTTACGAACTTGGGCTTCGAGACCGAATATACAGCATTGACATGGCGGTTGGGCCAAGATTTGCCGAGGTCAGTGGCCTTTTTCTCTTCACTAGCTAGCCATGAACGAAAAGAATCGACAACACCATATTTCGGGGTCGGGATCGTCTCCCCAGTGAGAATTTGTCTCCATTTCGGAAGAACTTTATCCAAGACATCATCTGAGAGAATTCGGTTACCTTCACCATCGGTGGCCAAGGCGACATTCCAGTAAGGAGATCGGACGGTCCAGGCAACGGAGCCAGTCACGTAAAAGACGTCGGTATGCTTTCTCATTGCGTCTTTGTCGCCCCGAGTCATCACATCCCGCATGTCATAGTCAAATTGTAGGCTTCGGTTGGGGTCAACGACGAGGTAATCATCCGTATTGTCTTCTTGAGCTTTCTGTCATGTCAGTATCGTTTAGCGAAGCTTGGATTAAACAGTATCTTTACCGTTCTCTTGATCACAGAGATCTTCAAATGATATCTGTTGATCTGGGATAGATTCCAACTTCTGCAACAGCCTTTCATGTGCTTTGTTATCCATGAGGATAATGAGCTTCACCATCCACCTCTGCCTATTGGTTAAAGAGTCGGGAACTTGGAGCCTCTCGATTTGACCCAGGATGGCAGGTGTGCCAAATGGGAGAAGAAGATGAGCTAATAGCTCTGGAATATCCGGAGAAACTGGCTTCTTCTCTTTGACGTCGCTAAGCCACTGAGGAAGGAATGCAGCAAGTTCCGCTGCCTTGCATATTTTGCTACCAGATAAGACTCGAGACAACAAATAGCTGACTGTCGCATCCTCTGGTGCAATAACAGCAAGAGAAGATACGGTGTTTTCCACCATAATGCGGTGTTCTGAGAAAGGAAAGCACCTGCAGAAATGTGAGAGTTAAGAAATGTGATTAAGTGAAGCTGGAATTGAAACGAACAGACAAGTGAAGACAGCAGCCTTGTGTAAGTGACAACAAGAGGACTGGAGAGTTGCAGGAGAAGTGTGACAAGATGGACAAGAGACTTGGGACGAGACGAACTTCCTAAAGAGACAAGTCGACACTTTAGGTGTCGCTGAGAGAATTGTTGGAGTTTGGATAAAAATGAGTGGGAGTGCAGGAAAATGGGTTGAAAAGGTGACAACAATAGAAGGAGACGAGGAGACCTCTACCATCTACGAAGGGACAGAGCTCAAGCACATGAGTTGCCTAACTAAGCCGTGTTAGTGTAGATGAAAGGAGAGCTGATGTGAAGCAAGGCGAAGGAGAAAAGTGCGGAAGAGTATGAGAGAAGAGTATGGGAGGTAAACAAAAAGAAAGCTCACACGGTTAGAAGTGGTTGCCATGTGAGCAATCCCCATACATTGATGATTTCCCTACATTTGAGGAGACTCTTTGTCAATCAGGTTAAATTTAACGACCATGTTTACAGAATTTCATTTTATATTCCCTTATACGAAGATTAGATATAAGAAACCAACCTGGTTTGGAGTAAATGCCAGCTATATCGATTCTTAAACAGGATATCTGTGATACAATTACCAACCCCGAAAGCTTGTGGGTTGGATAATGCCTAGGTGATGGTAGCTTGAATATAAAGATCAATTAACTTACTGCATATAGACACGGCCTGAGACATATCCTCGCTGAAGTATTATCAAGCCATCCATGGAGACCAAATGTGGATGGAACTGGTAAACAAATGACCATATACCCGAGGGGAGCCTTCTTGCCATAGCTTTCCGTCCTGTTTTGTTCGAAGATCTGGAAACTTGTAACTGTTTGCAAAGACTGCTCTCATCATATCGAAATAGTTCTAGTGGAAGCTTTATTATCCTAAAGTTTTGCATTCTGCTGGTCATGGTAAAGCCTTCGATGTATTCGTGCACCACAAAGATATAGCCGCATTTGTACTGAGTATTTAGCACACCCAGATCATTGAACAACGAATAGACCTTTGGCCACAAGTAAGTGAAGACAGGATTACTAGGATATGAGAGGATAAGGGAAGATGCGAAATGGAATCGTCCAGACAAACTAGATAAGTGAAGAATATGGTTGCACTTTGCACCTTAGTCCTGTAATAGCATCAAGAACTTCCGATGGATATTGCACCTGAAGTGTAAACATCTGTATGTCATCAGGTATTCCCAATTTAACATATCTTGAACCTTGCTCAGGCAAGCTTCAACTGCGTTGAGCAAAGCTTGTTCTCGTTGAGGACGAAAATACGATCACCGCTACCAAATGAGAAGATAGAAGCCCTATCATTAATAAGAATATTTCCGACATGGACAGGTGATTACATATGGCACTAAGTTCACGCCGTCACCATAGCCAGCATATGCATTACCCTGTGAACCTAGATACCATCAAGAATACTCACCTGGAATTGCAGAGACACGCCAGGCTTTCAACAATGGCCGAAATTTGATCACTTCAAATGCATTGCTAGAGAAAGAAAACCTAGCATCAAGTGTATAGAGCGGATTTCTAGAGCTCAAATCAACATATAAAGCGGTAGGCAAGATATCCTTCTTAACCTGGCCTTGTTATTCAGGGGCTAGTTATGTTCAAGCATATTCAAGTTTCAAAGAAACTTCTTCAAGTGATGTTAACACATCTACTTGACTTCCAAGTTCTACAATGGAAATGAAACGTTTGAAAATAGGCTCATTTCTGTGGTCTTGGAGTCGAATGTGTTGAGGTCACGTTTGATGTCTCGTCTTGCTTTAAACACGCCTGATAATTCAGGCAACTATAGCCTCCGACTTTCGGCCGATTTGCCCCTTTTTCTCTTCTCTCTTCCCAAATACTGTGGATCTTTGATTGTATCGCCAAGGGTAGATATTGAGGCTAACCCATTAAAGTGAGATACGAATGCGTAGAAAGTTCCATGAAATTTATGAGATCGCCTAACATTTGGGAATATTAATTGTTGCACGGTTCAGTTTCTGGCCAAATCTTGGGCCCCGCTTGACTGGGCCAACGACAGTGAGGCGAAGAGGAAGTTCAGACAATGCTCAATCTTTGAATGGAAGTTGACCAGTCGAAACAGGCCCTTAGAGCCCGGACCACGTCTCATCCGTTCTCACTACTGTTAATATGGGGTGTAAATGGCCAAAGCCATATCACAGAAAGTGCTATATACCGATCCGAGTCAAAAATTAAATGAGGAAATGGCGTAGCATGGTAGAAACAGTGTAAACAGACTCCAATCAAAATTTATACTGTTTGCCTGGAAGATTTGAGTGGCAAACGGCGAGAGAAGATATATCGAAGGCGACCAACGGTGGCGCATGTGGAAGAAAAATGCCCCGAAGCCCGCGGTTCAGCAAATCGGTTAGAATGGCCATAATTCAGGAGGGATCTGTGCGACTACAACATATTTTACTAAGGCTCAAGGGTTTAAATTAACTGCCCAATGCCCAACGCCCAAGAATTTCAATGTGCCGAGTGATGTTGGCTTGCTTTCGTCACACTTGACCCGTCCAACCCTGTCCGGTTTAACCTTTTTGGGACGTGTTCGGCTACCTGCCAGGGGCAAAAAGGGGCCTGAACGGAGTTGAGAAGTATTTATGGGCTGTTTGCTTGAGATTTTATAATTGGGAGAAGAATGTCTTTGAACTATAGCAGAAAACAAGTGGAATTTAGTGAAGTTTTTTTAAAGATAGTGGATCTCGTATACTTCGTAGAAGCCGTTTAACTGTGATAAGAGGAATATGAAACGGGGTAGAAGTCTGAGACTAGTTCTATTCTTAGGATAACAGGGCTAAATAAGGAGGAATTTATACACGATTGTCTTTGACTCGATTCTATAGTACAATATAGTACAATATAGTACATATTTAATATAATATTGTTATATAATATTCAACCACTTTGAGGTTATTCATGTTATTCATTTCCTATACTTTGTGTCTATACAAAACCCGTTCAAAGTTCCCATAAACCTGTCAAACCGCCCCCCAGCCACCCGACTCCTTTTCCCAAGACTCCACGTGCTAAACATCAACCTCCTCTCTTCTCCATATTTCCTTCCAATCTTCCATTCCATCCATCTTCAAGAACCTTCGGGGACCCGGTTATTCTCCGCGGCCATAATTCCCCTCAGGTCGTGAACTTGGTTGGTCCAAAAAAAATAATAAAAAAAAACCTCCTGCATCTGACCCCTCCTCGGCCCAATTTCAATCTGTCTCGTGTAGAGACAGAAATCTGCCCACCATGAATCAGGACAATTTCCCATTGAAATTCCGCCGAGCATCTAGCAAACTTCACAAAGAAGCCCCTAGCTTCAGTTCGCGCATTCTTCGGACTCATCAGAGCACCACATCGTTGAAACGCACCCCCTCCGCTCCAGTCTATCCACGTTCCTCTCCCAGCGGCAGCCGCGAGCATAATCGATCACGATCCAACGCCCAATTCCCAGGTTCTTCCTCGTCGTCTCTGGATCAGAACAGTGGCGGTCCCTCGCCTTCCAACGACGAATCAAGTGGCTTCTTCTCCAATTTGACCTCCCGGTCTCGCACCCGCAGCTCCAACCGTTTTTCCTACAACGAGCAGAGCTCGGATGAATTGAACGCCCCTTACGAAACGCGGGGCATGCTTAGTGCATTGGATGAGAATAGCGCCGAGACTGATCCTCACTCCCAGCAAAAGCCCGGACTTCGTTCTGCCCACACCAGCCCCGATACTCGCGGACGCCACTCACTCCGCCAGTCAGCTAGCTTCACCACTCTAACGCAACGAATGGATCCCTTCGCCCATCGCGAGACCGAAAGGCCTCCCAACAACGCCGCGAAACGATATTCCGACGATGGCAATCCCCCGGCCGCTCCCCGAACGAGACAGAGCAAAAAGGCCAGCTTCTCAAGATTCGTGGATAGTATGCTCGGTACCCCCGGTCGCAATATGAAAATTTCAGCTCCAGAGAATCCGGTTCATGTCACCCACGTCGGCTACGACAATCAGACCGGCCAATTCACTGGTCTTCCCAAAGAATGGCAGCGACTACTCCAGGAGAACGGTATCTCGAAGAAGGAACAGGAGGAGCACCCGCAAACTATGATGGATATCATGCGATTCTACGAAAAGAACACCCGTGGCGACAGCGATGATGAAGTATGGCATAAGTTCGACAATGCGCAAGCTGCTCAAGCTGCTCAAGCTTCCCAAGCCACCAGCCCAAGAGAACAAACATCGCCACCGGGAAGTCCACGATTTCCGCAAAATCACGAAAGCAGCTTTGAAAATCCGCGATCGCCCCCGCCAATCCCTCGCGGGCCTCCGGCAGGTCCGCCGCCGGTCATGTCTCCTCCAGTGGGCGGTATGGTGCCCCATCGTGCTCCCCCAAAACCGCCCACTGGGATGACTCCCTCCCGCCCTCCTCCTCAACCCCCGGTCTCAAATTCGTACGGAGTCCCACAGCGAGCTCCCCAGGATAATTATGCTCCTACGTTTGGCACTCCGACTATCCCAGAATCTGAGCCATTACCGGCATCGCCACACCGTAGTCGCTCCAGCTCCCGAAATGGTACCCCTGCCCCCAGCATCCCCAGCATCCCGAACGTTCCCAATGTCATCGCATCCCCAACACAATACCAGCGGCAACAGGAGCAGGTCATGGCCGCGGCCCAGCAAACTTTGGAACGGAATCGTACCCAACGCCAGCAAGCACAGCAGCCGCCGGCCATATCCACGTCAACTACTGCTCCAGCACCAGATCTTTCGTCTGGGGCGTCACCCAGTACGCGTGCTCCACCCGCTGCTAGACCTAGACAGCGCCAGCAGCGACAGAGCAGCTCCTTGGATATTCGGGCGCGCTTGATGTCGATCTGTCATCCTGGTGACCCCACGCAAATCTACTACAACTTCAACAAAATCGGCCAAGGTGCTTCGGGTGGTGTATACACAGCGTATGAGCATCCCCACAACAACTGTGTTGCCATCAAACAGATGAATCTAGACCTGCAACCTAAGAAGGACTTAATCATCAACGAGATCTTGGTCATGAAAGATAGCAAGCACAAGAACATCGTGAATTTCTTAGAGAGCTTCTTACATGGCCTGGATCTTTGGGTTGTGATGGAGTACATGGAAGGTGGCAGTCTGACAGACGTGGTTACCTTCAACATTATGAGCGAGGGACAGATCGCAGCTGTTTGCCGAGAGGTGAGTACAGAATGATTGATTCCGTCGCAATATAAGACGACGAGATGCTAACTATTTCGACTAGACTCTGGGCGGTCTCCAGCATTTGCATTCCAAGGGTGTCATTCATCGAGATATCAAATCCGACAATATCCTACTGGCAATGGATGGTAACATCAAGCTGAGTAAGTTCCACCCTGTGTTGTGTCGAAATCATGCTAACAATCTCCAGCCGATTTCGGTTTCTGTGCTCAAATCAATGATTCGCAGAACAAGCGGAACACCATGGTTGGTACCCCGTACTGGATGGCTCCCGAAGTTGTTACTCGCAAAGAGTATGGCCGCAAGGTCGACATTTGGAGTTTAGGCATCATGGCCATCGAGATGATCGAGGGCGAGCCACCGTACCTGACAGAGTCCCCGTTGCGAGCACTCTATCTGATTGCTACAAATGGAACACCCACCATTAAAGATGAGCACAATCTATCCCCGATCTTCCGCGAATTCCTTCACTTTGCCCTGAAGGTTGACCCGGAGAAGCGGGCGTCGGCCCATGACTTACTGAAGGTATTCACTCGTTCCTATTTCCCATGGTTTTCATAGCGATAACTGACATTTTGCCCTTTAGCACCCATTCATGTCTCTCTGCGCACCACTATCGCATCTCGCCCCCCTCGTCAAGGCTGCTCGTCTCAGCCGCGCCCAAGAAAAAGCCCAAAAAGGAGGCGCTTGAAGATGATGCTGATGAATGACCGCTTTTTTTATTTCCTATGTTTCGGTTTTATTTCGTCGTACTTGATATCTCTTGACGTCTTGCTCAGATACCCCGTCACTCCCAATGTTTCTTCTAGATCCCGACGTGCACTACAGTCCGTTGTTGGAATCCTTTTATGTACCCAGTTTACTTCTTTATTCACCTCTTACATCGATTTTCGATGAAAATGACTCCATTCCATGAGCATGTTGCCTGTGATATCTGCTTTGCCGCTCACTGTCTCTGTATTGAATTTGATGTCCATGTAATTTCTTGTAGTTGTATTTGCCCAATTTATTTTCGTTAGTTCATGATGAATACAAGCAGCTAATGAGCTTCGAAATTCGAAATTTTTATGCTACATCACGTTAGGAAGTACTCCGTATGTGTGCCTAACATAGTGGAGCTGTATTCAGCCACAACCGATAAGCAGATGTGGGAAGAAGAAACGGAGTAGCCTACACAGTACTCCGTAGGTAGGGCGAAGTCCTAACTAGCGTGGACCAAAAAAAGAAATTGACACAAGGAGGAAAAGAATGAAAAATTATGTTGTAGAAGCTCAATTCCCAGGCAGACATAATGTACGGAGTACTTAAGAAAAATTAGTTCAATTTTGATCCCTTAGCCATTCTATGTGCGGAGTACGAATACGGGTCTCCCAAACGTCGTCATATGCTGACTCAGGTGACAGTTCCGCCCGTACACAATAGGTAGCCCCAACACTGTCAACTGATCATCCCCAAGGACCTGATTAACAGATACCCAGCGCTGCAATACCAGTCGCTTGCTATACCGTTCCTCGCCAAAGCCCTGTCCCTGTGATATTCACACCGCCTGCATCAACCCGCAGCCTAGCCGCATCTTTTGCTGTCGTCGACTCCCCGCAATCGGTGCTGGAGGACCATCGCTACAAGCTACACAACCAGTGTTTGAAAGAGAGTGTGGTCTTGGATACCCAAGTCTAATTGGAATCTGTCGCTGGACTTCTGCGACCTGAAAACAAGACCAGCCGCTTGTCAGAAGCTGAGCAGTGCTGCCCAACTTCTCCGATAATCCACATACAACATACCACCCGGTGATTACCTGCGAAGGTTAGAGGACGTACGTTCGCGATGTTTCGCGCGCAGCAGAACCAATTTGACGATGCCGTCGGTAAGTTGCACCATTTTCTGCTGCATCAAATACACCATGCACCCCGGGAGCTGGCTAGCTTGGAGGGAAAAGCTTGGGGGCACCTTGAACCTGCTTGTGCGATGTGTTTACTGACAATATTTGCTTCTGTATAGCTAAGGCGACGGACGAGAATCTGACCTCCGAGAACTGGGAATTTATTCTGGTGCGTTGTGCATGAGACTATAATGAATCGCCGGAATCACCACGGCCTTGGGACACAACTGATTCGACTTTTGTGGTTTAGGATGTCTGTGACAAAGTTGGCTCAGAGGAATCAGGGTACGTGGCTAGCTTGGAATTTCAGGCTTGTCTAAATTCACCAAACGACCCGTTGCTGATTTGTGCCGTGATACAGTGCGAAAGAGGCCGTGGCTGCGATGATCAAAAGACTGGCTCACCGAAATGCCAACGTCCAGCTCTATACATTGGAGGTTTGTGGCCGGATACTGTGCTTCCTCAAGCGCGAAAATTCTCTTGGTTATAGCTGACTGTTTTTTAGCTTGGAAATTCGTTGTCGCAAAACTGCGGGTTGAAGATCCATCGCGAGTTAGCTTCGAGAAGCTTTACTGATGCGCTACTACGCTTGGCGAACGATCGTGTAAGCATATCCCAACCCTTCGTTTCCTTAAATGGTAAATATTAATATATTTGTCTAGAATACGCATCAACAAGTTAAGTCTAAAATTCTGGAGCGCATGGAAGAATGGACTGAGATGTTCGCATCCAACCCGGATTTTGGCATCATGGAACAGGCATACATGAAATTAAAAACAACGAGTAAGTATCTGTTCTACCTCGTGAATATCCGGGCTCGACTCATAATATTCTAGACCCGAATCTGCAGCCACCGTCGAAACCTGGAAAGCGTGAGATCACCGATGTTGATCGTCAGATGGAAGAAGAGGAATTGCAGATGGCCCTAGCCCTGTCTATTAAGGATAAAGCAACCCCGGCGGCTGCTGCCGCGGCAGCACCTCGAGCCCAGGCTTCGTCTGCTGCTGTTGCATCGGCATCGGCTCCCACAAATCAAGAGGAGCCCACCGAGACTCAACCTGCTCTCTCAGGTACATCAGTAGCTACCGTGTCGCGCGTGAGAGCATTGTTCGACTTCCAACCGTCTGAGCCAGGAGAGCTTCAATTCCGCAAAGGCGATACTATTGCAGTTCTGGAGTCTGTCTACAAGGATTGGTGGAAGGGCTCCCTGAGAGGACAAACCGGCATTTTCCCTCTCAACTATGTGGAGAAACTCCCAGATCCCACTGTCGATGAGCTGCAGCGGGAGGCTCAAATGGAAGCGGACGTCTTTGGGCAGATCAAGAGTGTCGAGAAGCTTCTGACTCTACTGAGCACCCGTAATACAGACCTCAATGTTCAAGAAAACGAAGAGATTACTACACTCTATCAAGCTACGCTTGCGATTCGTCCAAAGCTCATCGAATTGATTGGGAAATATTCGCAGAAGAAAGGTAAGCAGCCACTCGTTTGTTTTGCCATGGATGTTTCGCTTACACATGTCTAGATGAATTCACCCAGCTCAATGAAAAGTTCATCAAAGCTCGTCGCGATTACGAGTCCCTCCTTGAGGCATCGCTAGGCCACCCGGCACAGCCTCAATATGGACGACCTGCCCAGCCACAGTACGGTTATCCTAGTGCTGCGCCTGCCGGGTACCCCTCTGCTCCTCAGGCAGATCCCCGATACTACACTCCCCGGCCTCAAGGTTAGTAGACTCTAGAAATTACCCACCACCTCCCAGTTCTAAGTTGACTTGCCCAGACACCCCGCCAACCCAGGCGAATGCATACGCACCATACCCCGCCAGCGAGCAGGCCATGCCATACCGCCCAGCCTCTCACTCCCCTGATCCTCGTCTCCAGGCCCAGGCCGGCCCGTCACAGCAGCCACCCCACGCCGACCCCTACCAACCTGTTAGCCACCGTCCGCAATCTACATACGATCATCCCCAAGAACTGAGCACCTCTGTCTACGATTCACCTGTCGATCACCCTGCTCCTGGCCAGCGCATGCCGTATCCCCCAACTGCTCAAGCTCCGCCTGCTGCCCACCCGCAATTCCAACAGCAGCAGCAGCAGCAGCAGCAGCAGCAGCAAGACTACTCGCCCTCGGTATACCCCGCTGAAGAGACAGCTCAGATCCCGCCTGCCTCCAGTGTGCCCCAAATCCCGCATCAGTTCCAGCAACAGCAACAACAGCAACAAGCTCCGTATCCCGACTCTCCCGGTTCCCATCAACCCCCTCCATCGCACCAGCCTCCGCCGGTACCTGGGGCAGCGCAGCAGCCACAGTATACCTCCTACAACCCGGCACCACCGGCCGCAAGCACGGGCGAGTACCAGGCGTACCAGCCTCCACAGGGTGGAGCTGGCTCGAATCCAGCTTCTTTTTATCGGTAATTGATACTTAGTCACGAAGACCCTCATTCGGTTAATAGGAATAAATGCCTTGACTGTGTTTAATGTTTGGGTTCGTAGTGTGACATTGCAAGCAGTATTCTTCGGTTCTTTGCCCCTCCTTTGCTGGATGTTTTTCTCTGTCATGTATGTAGCCGGCGGTTTAAATATGTCGTTAATGGTATGTTAGTACATATAAGCTTTTGATCTTCAAGTTTCCGTAGGTCAGTACTATAATGCTTTATCGATGTCTTTTCTGTGATACATTTCCTAATAAGGAAAATGACAAACCAATGAGAAACATCTAAAAAGTGGACCAACTAGCCATGACGAAAAGGAGAAGCTTAATCTTCGACTTCACACCATGATAGATTCCCTGTCTACGGAAATTCTGTTGACCGTTCTGGAATGTTTATCCCCGCTTGATCTCCTTTCCGCTTCCAGAGCCTCGGCAACCTTATACCGCACCTTCGCCGCCTACAAACAACATCTTCTCAAACATACTCTCCGTCAGGCCATCCACCCGGCATGTAGAGCGGACGTCTATACCGCGCTGGACGCCCAAAATATTCCCCAGCTTATCAAGTCGGGCGAAAAAATTGTCAAAGTCAAGGCTGAATGTTTTTCGCTCTTTGCCACCGACCGCACTCGTCGGCGTCAGAATGTCAAACAGTTTAGCGTGGATAATGCGAACCTCGATACGTTGTTTTCTCTCCATGTCAATATTGAACGCTTGATCGATAGCTATTGTCAGTGGTCACTGGGCAATTTGATCTCGCACCATGAAAAACCGACACAGTTCCAAACGACAACCGTCCACCCAAGAGCAAATCTATCATCTACTGAACACGCCCGTCTTCAACGGGCGTTCTATCGATGCGAAATCTATGCGAGATTCCAGCGTGTCTTACACCTCCTCACCGACAAAAGCGCGGCTCTAAATTTCTCTCAGATTGTTTTGAGCTTCGTCTCGCAATTCACCCTCTATGAATTCGAAGAGATCATCAGCGTACGACAATTTCTCGCTCAGTTCATTAGATCGCTCTGCGAAAGAGTCGAGGATGGTTTCATGGCTTCGTATTCCCTCACTGGCTCTGTCGGCGCGGGCGTCGAGGAAGAAGCTTCGGGAGATGCAATATCAACTAAAGATCAAGATCCTGGTGACGTTTCCTTCTTCACAAAGTCATACCGAGACAACCACCATTTGGACCATGTGAAATTTCTTATATCATGTGGTTTACCATACCTCCTACGTCTGAGTCTCATGGAACTGCCAGCCCTCAAACACGCCATGCTAGAGTCATACGTGGAGTCGCAGAAGAACACCGTCAATGACTTCTTTTTCCAGGGTGGACTAGACATCGAATCGTGTGACGAGAAACAGAAAGACATTGTCCTTAGGGGTAAACTGGTTTCCATTTCCCGGGATGAAGTTGGCAGTTGCAACCTAGGCTGGAAATGGGGTACCAGCTTCCACGGCTTTGTCAAGCCCGACGCTCCCGCTATGTTCGATTTGCGGAACCAGGGCTATGTCTTCTGGGATCAAGAGCGGCTGACGGAATCAGGTCTTATAAATGAGCCATTTGTGGTTCACGTTGGGACAAATTATTTTCCTTCTGGTCACAAGGGTCCGTTTCTGAGGCCTAGTGTCGAGGAGAGGCTTGGTGGCTTATGGGTGGATGCTGAGGCCTCGAAGAAAGTGGAAGATGAATAGATGTGCATTTATCGAGTAGATTTAATGATAGACATTTGAACACCGAATCCCAGGTTAGTGACATGGTCCCCCGTTGGCAGTCGATCCTGGATTGTGCACGAATCAGGTTCAACCTTCCCATTAGGACATGATGAGAACGAAAACAAAATAGCTAAGGAGAGCGGAGATAAGACGAAGACCCGTGAGACAGACGTTAGTTGTTCTGCTTAGCATCGCTTCCATCCTTGTTATCCTTGTTGTCCTTCTGTCCCCGACCCTGCTTCTTGGCCTCTGTGTCTGCATCATCAGTAGCATTTTCCTGGCTACTTATTTGCGTCTTGAGCCTATAAAACCGCCATTGGGCCTGTTTCACCGAGATTCCCTCACACTCGGCAACGGCAGCGTAGTCAATCTGTAATACGATGAGCAAACGCTAGGAAGCTTAGGAATGGGGGTTAAATATGACTAACTCGAACAGCTGACTGAGTAATACAGCGTAGTAGGAACTCGTGGTTTTTATCAAAGCTCACTGGAGCCCGTCCCCGCTTGCCAAGGGCCTTCTTGAGCTGGGGCATATTGGTCGGAGTCATGGCCGAGGGTCGAGAGATGATTCTATTTGTGTGTGAAGTGATTGTAGGCAGTGGTTATTCGTGACTCTGAGAGAGAGGATATGGAGATAGAAGGACTACAAATGATAGAAGAGGAGAGTTATGGGATTTGTTTGCCCAGGTTCAAATACCAACGGCACACTCATCTGATATTATACTACATTTTATTACACCGATGGATATCAAAAATTTGTAGTATCAATCCAAGAAAGAGTCGCAGGGACTGTCACTGAGCCATTGATAGGTAAGGCCTCGGCTATCAAAATGTCAGTTGAAATCGTATAAAATGGAGAATGGAATGAAGCTAACCTCCGCTAGTAGTGAGGTAAAGAATATGCTCGTCATTTCGCAGCCTACCGAAAGCACCAGCCGACACACCCGCTAGAATGGTCGATGTGTTGCTACCGGCGATAAGCTGGGCAGCAGACGATCTGGGGTAGAGGACACTGAGTTCATCCATTTGGTTCTGCGCGATGAAGGCAACGCCGTTCTTCTTGAATATGAAATCATCGGCCTTGGGAACATTGCTGACGACAACTTCAGATTTACCAACTGCAGCGCCTTGATTCGTGATGCGAATACGGTTCAAAGTGCCGGCAGCCGTATTGGTCCAGTAAAGATATCCATGCTTGATCTTGATGCCATTGACTCCGAGATTGACGGCTGGATTTGGGACAACGTCGAACTTCATCTTTTCATCGTTGATGGCAACATTGTAAGCCCCCGTTTGGGTATCAACGTGATAAACCCAGCCATTGTAAACATCGGCAACAAGAATCGAGGTCTTGGATAGAGTGGTAGCGCCATTCAGAAAGTCCGAAGTGGGAATATCGACTAGCTTGGAGACAATTGCTTTAGAAGTCACCTCGCCTGTCTTCTTAGAGACGGCGAATTTCCTCATGTCGATTTCCCAGATGCTGTTAACCCCTGACGTGAGCACAAAATTATCGTCGACAAAGCCGGAGGTTACCACGTAGAACATATCGCGACTCGTCTCGGACACGCCGAGACAACCCTTGTAGGTTGTCGAGTCCCAGGAAGCAACTACAATGGGCTCACTGGCACCCGTTGGATCAAGCTGGAGAACTTCAGGGGTATCCAGGCGTGAGACAAGAATGTGGCCATTGGCGCGTACCGCGAGGTTCTCGGCCCAGGTGCCATTGCCGAAGTTGTAAAGAACATTAACATCCACGGGGTGAAGAGCAAATGTAGTAGACAACAGGGAGACCGTGGTCATGGCCAAAGAGAGAAGACGAGTCATTTTTGGGAGCTGGGGTGTGTCTTGAAGGGGAAGGTTTAGGGGATACATATATGCACCGCGGGTGGACGGGATAGGAGTATCGCTAAAGCTAACAGGTCATCATGGCCACTCGTGGATGTGCAATAAATTAGTTATGCTAAAGCATACAACATAGCAAGCTGCTACATGTCGGTAATAACCCATCGGGATAGCTAGCGAAAAGCAGTTAGTCAAACTCCTAGCCTATTGTTATAAATGCTTACGAATATTTGTAATATAAATGATAGGTATTAGATACTCTTGACGATTGGCTAGGCTTGGAAAGGTATAGGCCATGGAATCTTTTAATGAAGGATCATAACCCTGGGCTAGCTTTTTTACTAAAATATATTGCCGTACGTGGCAATATCAGCCACCTAATATGAATGGTTTTATTCTTCTCCTTTGACACTTAGCTGGTATTAATTTCAAGGGTATACACGTATTTACGGAAATCGATGAACCCCGATGAATTTANGGGGGGGGGGGGAATATGGGACAGGTGAGTACTAAGGATGGGGGTTCGTTCGATCTAGCCATTGATTCTGGATAAGTGTATGTTTAGTGAATCATAACTGGGCAAGGAAACCGTCAATGACAATTGGGAAATATATACGGAGTGTGTTGTACAAGCCCTTGGATTTCTTCTGGCCCTTTTGGACAGAATGGCTTGAGCAACTGCATGCATTGGGTAAGCAGGTGCTGAATCCCTGCTAGAGGCAATACCCTGTAAATTGCTTGCTTGTACCTGACAGGACTGTTGACAGAAATGTTCTTATCTCATTGATTCCATGTTGGTTCTCGCTGCAGGATCTACCACTCTATCCAACTGATGGGGCCATGTCTTCTGACAACGACAATATCGGTGAATCACATTAAACGCAAACATCGAATTGATCATGACTGACCTGACTGCTACTAGGGGGAGCGGCACTCGGAGTATGCTGGGCACTCTCAGCCATCGCTATGGTCATTACCACCGCGCGTCTATACACCCAAGCACAGATCACCCGTCAACTTGGACTGAGTGATGCTCTGCTGGTAATATCAACGGTTCAGTCCCTACATTATATTTCTTGTTGTATTCAATACTGACGAAACAGAGCATCGTTCTTACCTTTTCATCAATAATCACCGTCCAGTATCACTACGGCTGGGGTCAGCACCAGGCCCTTCTATCTCAACATGACCGTATCCAGGCTCTCAAATATAACGCAATTGGACAGACATTTGGGGTCTTAGGCTCCACCTTTGGTCGTTTATCGACAATCACCACCCTTATCAACCTCTTCGGTATAACACCAAGGCTACGCGGGGGTCTGTGGACCCTATTTACTGCACAGTTAGTGACTAATGTTGTCATTGTTGTTTGCCTATACGCACAGTGCACCAATGTGGTGCTTCTTTGGGATGAGGGGGCGGGATCAGGAAGCTGCTGGAATCCAAATGTGCAAACTGTAAGAAGAAGAAGAAGAAGAAGAAGAAGAAGAAGAAGACGAATCCATCAACTAAGGTTGTGCTAATATTTGGCTTGTATAGTACTTAGGCTATGCACATTCAGCGTTCAACGCCGTGACAGACCTTTTTTTGACGTTCTTCCCCGCGTACATGATCCGGAATTTGCAGATGAATACTCGAAGGAAGGTTGGAGTGGCAGTCCTCTTGGGATTAAGTATTCTGTCTGTGTCTCTTTTTAAATTCCATTAAGGTGCCCACAACTAACTTGTCAGTGCATTTATTGCTGTCATTTTAAAGATCGTCAAACTAGCAGCTCTAGCCAACAGAGGGGACTATACCTGTGAGTAACTGCCGCACCAGTTGTAGACCACCCTAACATGATTCCTAGACAATACGGTTGCTCTATTCACATGGGTTTTGTAAGAATTATCCCCGACTACTCGTAACGCCGCTAACATCTCAGGACCGAGGCCGTTCTTCTCAATATTGCCGCGTCGGCTCCTATCCTGCGTCCGTTGTACAAGAGACTTCTTCCCAAGAAACATTTGGATTCTTCGTACGAAATGCACCACAGCTATGCTGCAAAGATTCAAGTCTCGCATGGGCGGACTGGTCCCAGACATGACGACTCCACGAGCGACAATGCTGCCATTCTAAGCAAGGATTCGCTAACTGGGGATAATTACTACCACATCACGATAACCCAATCTTACTCGGTGGCTGTGGGCAATGCACATCATCCGTGATGGCTGAGGTATACCACAAATGGAATTCATATAAAGGGGGTCTGCCCACTTAATCTAGTCAAAGTATGAGAACAGCCTATAGTGAGAATGAAAACGGTTTCTCTTCCTATGAGGTCACGTTCATAAGCGCGTTTGTAGAGATGCAAGGATTCTCGATTAGTGGCCTCAGGCCTCACTGGGTATTGGCTATTCCCCTCTTTGAGATCTCACTTCTCTTCTTTCTTTGTTCACTTCTTGGTAATCTTTCTGTCTGCTCCATTAGACAGTAGAGGCAGGTTGACTTCACGCTTCACGTCACATACTCCCCAGCCGAATTTCCAGTTCTATTCAATATCGATCATTTGAATCAACTCTCCTTGCAATATACGCACTTATTGTCATCATGGCACCACAAATAACTAGCTGGGATGACCTCACTAAAGTATGGGAGAAATACGATAATAAGACAAGGGAAATCCAACAAACATCTTTCGCATTGTTCGATAGCAACGAAAGTTTCTATTACGGCATGCTTGAAACCCCCAAAGCTGAGATTACTTTTGACCAGGTCACCAACAACCTCAAGAGTGTTCCCGATGAAGAAATATTCACACAGTGGCCGGTTCTGGGGATCGAGTTGATACAAGCCCCAGCGACGCTCATCGAAGATTTCTATATCAAGCGACCAGATCCACAAATGTACAAAGTGATGAAGGAGCACAATGCATTGTCCCAACTCTCGGCATCCTTGCTAGCAGAAGCTGAGATCCTAGAGTCGCTGTCCCAGCACCCACACCCGAATATAATCCGCTATCACGGCTGTTGGGTTCTCCGTGGGTACTTTATCGGACTTGTCATCGACAAACATCCACATGATCTGTACACTTATCTCAAGAACCGAGTTGGGACAATTGAGAAATTGTCTTTCATTCCCGCCCTTGAATCCTCTCTCCTTCACCTTCATAAACATGGATTAGCTCACAACAACCTGACTCCCCACAACATTATGGTGAGTGAAGAGGGCATGCCTGTTTTGATTGATTTTGGCGGGTGTCAGCCTATTGGAACGTATTTGAAGCATGTTCGAGGGACTCGAGGGTGGATTGATGGAGAAATCAAGGACCACAATACATCGAAAAAGGAGCATGATGTTTCTGCTTTAGCCAAGATTAGTACGTGGTTGGACAAGCCGGTCTTTAACTGTTGATTCATTTTGCGTCTGCGGAGAGCTGGGGATGGGTTATAGAACTAGCAGTATCTCAACACTAATTTATCAGATCTATAATCAAGCCGCTCGCATCTGTATGAAATCAACTATCTTCTGCCACCTGATTAACCCGATCTGAAGAACCAGTCAGATACAATGACCGCAATTACCGTCACCTACTATGAATTAGCAGATATCTCTCAGGTAAAGCCGAGGGCTCATCTTACTAGTGAAATATCCACACCAGGGCTCACGATTATGTCCAAGGCAGGGCGATGGTCTCCTCCGCGCTTCATTTTCCTCAAAACCAACTTCTCGTTGTGGATGATACTCTCGCGCAATTCAGCAATCCTCCTGTCCCCATCCACAATATCAAAGAATGCCAGCGCCTCTCCATGTTTCTTAATTGTCAACGTGAGTTGCTTATCTTCCTCACTTTTTCTTTCTTCGGCCGCGCCATTCCTAAAAGAGAAGATTAAGTTGATGCTATTCCAAGCCAACTTCGGCATCGCCTTCGCTATTGTCGCGTCGCTGATTTTGCTCCCGGGCAAGGTAACAACCCAACCCAAAGGATTTGAAAATGGCTTCGTGTGGATATCGAATAACGGTAAACCAGATGAGTCACGGAGTTCACGACACGAGCGATCATTGTATTTTCGACCAGTCGCTGTGAACACGGGAGAGCCCTCTTCGTCCGAGATCTTGTACGCATGATCAGACTGGGGATCGCCATGCGGCTTGAGGAGTAGCATTGTTTTCTCCGTCGCGATGTGTTCTAGTCGAAAGGCGACTTGTCGCTCTGGTGCTTTCAAGGCATAGCGTGGTGCAGAGCTTTTGGGTGTGATCCCTCGGTTCATTCGCGCATTGGTGTATGCGGCTCCAGACATGATTCCGTATGAGTAACAGCGTTTTACGAGCTTTTTTTGGTGCGATGTGGTGGCCTTTTATTGCTAGAGTGTTACACGCTTTACTCTAGTATTTTGTTCCAGGGCGTGTTGGCTGTGGACGGGGCGCCAACGCCCGATGACTTCCAGGGGTGCTTGAACGCTAGTTTAATTCGCGCACTCTACATCGTCCATCTCTTACCTTAGCTCCCGAATTGCTTCATAATAATTGGTCTTTTAATTCTAGTGTCATTAGGATGTCTCGGGGTTAGCGGCCAAGTGGATGCCAATGAAGCTTAGTTCCGGGGCCAACTCTCATAGAAGATGTTAGCCCACCTCGTCTATTGAGGGATTATTCCGTAATTCTTCAAATACAGACAAATGATGTGAAATTCCCTCAAAATGATAGACTTGAAGTACTTGAGACTCGCTTCTTTGTAGTCTTGAGTTGCTTATCGTACTCTTTTAAAGCCGCGCAAGGAGAATATAGATCAATTGAAGTAACCTACCGTCGTCGTAGTCGAAATTCCCCCAGATCCAAATGCGTGTTAACTCTACTTAAAGTATTTTAGAAGGTGCTGCTACTATAAAGAGCTTTGGCCGAAATACCAATATGCTTTCGATAGATCTGTCGGCCATTTGTCCCGAGTGTTTCGGATCTCATCCGACAAAATGACACAAATGGAAAGCCGTTCGTTTGTTCAATCTGTACATTCTCCCTCCCTCTTCTTTAATTTCCAGGCTATCTGATCACCATGTCTATCCATCCTATACATATTGCTGTCCTGGACACCGACATTCCTTGCTACCCTGTCTACGCGAAACGAGGATTGTACAGCTCACAATTCAATGTTCTTCTCACTGCCGCCGCAAATCGCATCAATGCAAGCCAATACCACCAGCACAGAAGAGCTCTAAATGTCCACATCACTGCATTCGACGTTGTCGGCGGGTCTTTCCCACATCTGAAGTCCTTACGGGTCAGCCCTTGGTCGCCGACGGAAAATGAATCCCCTGGCTTCCCAGGCCCTGTTGACGCGATTCTGGTCACTGGAGCAGCAGCCGCAGTATACGACAAGTTGCACTGGATTCCAGCCTTAAAATCCTTTATTGAGAAAGTGTATGCCGACTATCCTATGGTCAAAATTTTCGGGTCTTGTTTTGGACATCAACTTATAGGCCAGGCCCTCCTTGAAAGCGACAAAAGTTACACGTCCCAAGGATCTTCATTTAAGATATCCGTCGAGGCGTCATCCGATGGCCATGAGATTGGCATGCAGCCTATCATCTTGAACCCTGCTTTTGTCTCCAACTTCCCACCTCTAGCTCGCTTTACTCCAGAACAGCCATTTCATATCCAGCTCATCCATGGCGATGCAGTGATATCCTCCCCAGAAGACACACCAGTTTCCGGGGTAAAGGGGACGATATTGCCTGAGCCATGGCTCCATGTCGGAAGCAGCCTGAAATGTCCAATCCAGGGCCTCTACAAGCCCGGACACGTTCTCACATTACAAGGACATTTTGAATTCGATGCGTTCGCCACTGCTGAGCTCTGTCATAAATTTGCCGATCAATTTAACTGGCCTGCAGATTTGCTTGCCTCGCATCTAGAAAACATCCGGCGCTCCGTGGTGCTTGGCGGCGAGGATAAGGACGACTCTAAGGTCGCGGCGGAGGCAGTCCTTTTGTTTTTCGCGGGAGAAGACTCGGATTCGAGCGCAGATACCAATTCATTCTCATGCTGATTGCATTATCCAACCTTGAAAATGTTTGATTCTCTTCGATTGCGGGGCCTTCGGAGGTCCATGCCGATGTCCCCGCAGCCTCGGGTGAACACCCGATCCATACAGTCCGACGCTTTCACACCTGTGACCGAAACGTGACTATCAAATCAATATCAATATTAGCCGTACGCGGTGTATTTACAACCATGGCAGGCTCCAATCCACGATCTACCAACGCGTAAGTATGCAATGCATCGTCTGCATCTCCGGCTGCGGTGAGTCATGTATGATAACAGCTGGACAGATGTGAAACATGTCGAAGACGCAAAGTAAAATGTTCCGGTGATAAGCCTTGTCGCGCTTGTGTCAAACACAATTGGGAATGCAATTTTGGTCATTCCGGTCGCAGGCGGTTTTCTGAAGCGTAGGTTTATGCGCGTCGTAGGCTCTGGACACTCTTGCTGACTATCAACCAGCCAAGTGAAACATCTCTTGGAAAAAGTCCGAACCTATGAAGAGCAGCTCAGCGCCCAGTCTGCAGGGGGTCCAGTGTCTTCATTGCCTTCTCCAGTAGCACCAGATGAGACACTGGGGCGTCAATCTGCGCAACGAAGCTCTTCAACACCTGGGAATAACGAGCTCCCCAATCAGAGGCAAGATGAGTTATTATACCCCGATAACGATCCTGCTATAAGTCCGGGTAACTTGGCCTCGCTTTCTTCTTCTTGATCTGCTTGCAATATGAACTGACTCTACGTAAAGCAACGGACCTGACCTCCGGGCCTGCATTCGAGTCTCAAGTTAGATCGCTTCTTGACAGTTCGCATTCCAATGACCGCAGCTTTCATGGATCTACTTCAAATTTTCAATATCGGGCTGATCGATTACCTCAGTGGACTTCGGTCAAAGAGCTCGTTGACAATGTTTCCGGTGTATCTTTCCCGTCTTTGGAGGAATCACAGCACTTGCTTGACCAATTCCTTTTTTATCTTGGCGTGAGCCAACACTTTTTTGACCCACGATCTTTCTCAGACGATCTTATGTTGCTATTTCAGAGCCCAGAGACAAGGCAGCAGCAGATGGACTCTCCATGGTTTACAGAATATCTTTTGGTCATGGCCATGGCAAAGCTCATGGATGTAAAACACCCGACATCGCAGACTCCCGGAACAGACTTGTTCGCTGAAGCCTTGAAGCGTCTTCCTCCACTGCATCATATGGGTGGGGAAGGTGTTATCGCTGTCGAGATACTGACATTGATTACTACATATCTGCAGTGGTGTGACCGCAAACATGATGCTTATCTCTACGTACGTCATGCATAACCCACAATGCCCTTGAACAGTATCATTGACATGTGGTAGATTGGACTTGCACTGCGGCTTGCTATTGCTCTTGGATGCAACCTACGGGAAATTGACCAACGTTGCCTCCCTTCCCAGAGTGCCCACAGATTAAGACTATGGTGGACAGTATACATGCTCGACAGGTAGGCCTTCTTGGCAGATTTAGGTGCTTGGACCTCAACTTACACCTTTAGGCGCCTTTCTTCGGGTCTTGGGCTGGCTGCAGGGGCCGATGAGCGGCAGCTACGTACTGAACTCCCGCGGAACGCGATGGGTTTTCAGTCACCAATTGCCCTTTCCATCAATGTTCGTATCGCGCGAGTCACTGATGATATAATGTCATGTAAGCTATGCCCCGCTGGGATCTTAAATTCATGCTAATATACCCACAACAGCCCTGTATGGCAATAAGTCAATCACCCAACTAGAACTAGTTCAAAAGATCCAGCAAATTCTCCAAGAACTGCATGACACAGGCCGATCATTTCCTAAATCTTTGATGTTGGACTTCAATCGACCTTTGCAGTTGGTAACTCGCACAGGTGCATCGTTGTACCTAATGCTTTTCCAGGTGAGACCATCTCCAAGCAGAACACATTGTTGGTTTTGTTCCTGATTCGTTATCAGGCTATTATCCTATGTACACGACCAATATTACTTCAAAGAGCTCGGTTTCGAGTCCAGAGCCAACAACAGCCACAGTCACCTGATCCAGCGCCGAGTATGCTGCTCCGTCTCTGTGATACATGTGAAGAGGCAGCCACCAGAAGCCTCGCAATTCTTGAATCACTTCGTCGCCAGCAAACCATCCGTGAGTCTTTCCAGAGCTTTGGTCGATGCCCCCTTACCCCACACATCAAATTTCGCATGTTTATTAAACCTAAGAGCTAACACGTTATCCTAAGCCCGGTATGGCTTTTTTGACTTGGATGCAACATTCTCCGCTGCATTTGTGCTGGTCATGGTAGGCTTCTTGGACAAGTCACAAAGTCAACCTCCGCCAGCGCTCGATCAAGCATCCAAAGTGCTCCAGTTTCTATCACGGTCTGGTAATTTGGCTGCCGAGCGACGCCTACAGGATATTGCACAATCATATTTACATGTTTGGCCGGATCATGTTTTCGACGCAAATGCCTCGCACAGCGATGTAGGCTCCCGAGACAAGACTCAGACATTTGCTGCCAGTCCAGACTCGAGACAAGATGCGTTGTTGACTTCATTGGATGCTCATCCGTATATGGCTATGGCGTCAAGTAGTCGGAGTGATCATCAAGATGAGATCAGACTGCTTGAGCCTTGGTCTAATATGGATGTTCCAGACGCAATGTTTGATATGCAGGGAGACTGGAATCTAGATCTTTCCGGGGAAGCCGAAGGAATTTATTCCAGTTTCCACAATCCGACATTGCCACTGACCGGTGTTGACTACATCGACTGGTTGGAGATCGAGAAAGTATTTAATGGTCCATTGAGCGGATAGAAAAGAATGTCTCTTGTGATACCCAAACATATTGTGGAGTTAATAAAATAACGTCGTACACCTTAAATAATTTGCTGCTATATCTTCCCACAGTTCACCGATGTACATATCTAACTTTATCCGGCTTGTGTGGTTCGTTTGTGTGCTACATCTAGCAGGCTTTCTACCCATGGCCACTGTTATAGCCGCTATAGATCGGATTTCAAAGCCACACTCACTTTTATAACCAACCAGATTGGTTTCCCTCCTTGATATTCTCATTCAACAGAAGGAAAGCCCTTTGTGTTATGCAATATTGAACCAGAAAGGCTCTTCGTTGGTGATCTGAGGCCAGTCGCCACGTGTTTGCACCTAGACATCTCTAGGACTGTATAGATATAGCCATCCTTCTCTTCTGATGTGGGCCAAATTTCTATGCCTCTGCTGTAAGTTCCTTTCCTGCATAGAAATCATTGCTCTCGGTGATCTTCACTCTAAAGTTCCAGGCGGTATCGATGCCCGTAGACTTGGCGATATTGTTTTAAATCACGTGATGATACCAACATCTCACCGTTCCTATTCCTCGCCGGCAACATGCACAGCATTTGGAGTCCGACCGCTTCTCATTTCGTCGCGTCAGGCATTTTGAGCCGAGCTTCGACTGTTCGTTTGGTGCCTTTTCGACTCCAAACCTCTCACCGTGTCAAAATCCCACCGCCAAATCCTCTGATAGCTTCCCCGCAATCGCGTCCCTCGCGCCGAACGATGCCCACACTCGCTGTATTCCCACGTGGCTGAAGACAGCAGTTTACACCAGGCCCCATCAGGCCCGCACCTCGAGAAAAAGAGAGCACGCTCAAGATAATTACGGTCTTGGAGTTGGACTCCAGAGGCTACCGCAAGCATGGAGGCCGACTGGGATGAGCTGTCGCGTATCCCAATGCCGCCGCCGAGTCCGCATGCTATGCCAACTGTGGCAACGGCGACGGCATTTGACGATATGATGGAGCTTTTATGGACAGGCAATGAATATGTGAGTGCTAATGTTGACTGAGCGATTTCTGAGGCGGGACGCTGATAAGGATGTTCGAATCGCCAGGGCAGGGTCTCTTCCTTTTACGGGCCGGAGATGCAGCGTTACACCTCTGTTCGAGCCCATCCGGTTTCTGAGGGTGCAGTACGGCAAATAATCTTCCACGAAAGAGGTGTGATTTCGCTATCATCAAAGAGTGTGCACATGATTACACGACGAGGCTTGACACAGTGGCACCTTACTCACGATGAAATGGTCGACCTCCGCTGCATGAGCTTCACCGCCCAGACCAATCGAATCCTTGTCGCAGGTTCTCAGCGCGTGATGTTCACAGTAGATATTGATAAGGGCACAATCGTCGAGAAACTGCCCACTGAGCATGGCTACACGATGATGAAGAAAAGTCGATATCTATGTGCTGCAACAGATACTGGATCAGTCAATGCCCTCAGTCTCTTAGACTTCAGTGTGGTCAAGTCATGGAAAGCTCACGGAACAGGTGTTAATGATATGGATGCACGAAATGACCTGCTGGTCACCTGTGGCTTCTCAGTCCGCCACCTCGGATCCCCAATCGTGGACCCTCTAGCAAACGTTTATGACTTGAAAACCCTAACACCGTTACCTCCGATTCCGTTCCATGCTGGAGCAGCATACGTGCGCATGCATCCCAAACTTCACACCACCAGCTTCGTGGCTTCACAAACAGGTCAACTCCAAGTGATAGATCTCATGAATCCAAATTCGGTCAACTTGAGACAAGCCAATGTGTCACTTGTGCTCGGTATTGACCTGTCACCATCAGGAGAAGCATTGGCTATTAACGATGCCGAATGCTCCATTCACCTATGGGGCTCACCGACCAAGGTTCATTTCAATGAATTGAGCAAAGAGACAGAGTTTGCCGACGTTCCTACGCGGCCTCCTCAGGTAGAATGGTCTTCCGAATCTCCATTGAGCATGGTTGGGATGCCTTATTACCACGAACGTCTCTTTTCCGCGTGGCCAAGCCATTTGCTTTTTGAGGTTGGCAGTCCGCCGGCTCCGTTGGATCAGTCTATGTTGCCATATTTACGACCCGCAGAGATGGGACACCATGCTCCAAACCCGAGAAAGACTCGTCGATACCAAATAGAAAACACTCGCGCATTGACCACGGCAGAGCCGGCTCTTATTGCACCAAAGTTTTTGAGTGAAAAGGCTCGGGACTATAGCAAGTCAGACGGCTTGGTTGGCGATGCCGCAGAGGCATTGGCAGGAGCAAATATCAACGGAGAGAGCGATGACGACCCATTGCTCAAATACAGCAACGTAGAGATCAAATACAGCCGATTTGGCGTAGATGACTTCGATTTCAGGTATGTCTTCCTCTTCCAACTCATTTGCTACCCCTCGCTCACATTCTCTATAGATTCTACAACAAGACCTCATTCTCTGGACTTGAGACTCACATCTCCAACTCATTCACCAATTCTCTTCTTCAACTTTTCAAATTCATCCCACTTTTCCGAAATCTCGCCCTGAATCATGCAGCTGGATCGTGCATATTTGAACATTGTCTTTTGTGTGAACTGGGCTATCTGTTCGATATGCTTGAAAAGGCAAGCGGGCAAAATTGTCAGGCCACCAACCTTCTCAAGACATTCAGCAGCTTCCGAGAAGCCTCAAATCTCGGCCTCCTGGAAGAGAATCTTACCAACAAATCTCTCTCAACTGCGATTCAAGCGGTCAACCGTTTCTTCCTGACTCAAGTAGCCCAAGACTTCCGAATGATTCAGCCTAGTTCTGAAGAACTCGATCAGCGCTTAGCTACCATTGCGTCCGAGTCTATTCGGTGCATGTTCTGCCAGAACGAAATTGTGCGCCCTGGAAATTCACTCGCCAATGAACTGATTTATCCGAATATCGATATTAAACATGCGCGACGCAATCCGCTATTCCGCTTCTCAAATATTCTACGCGCAAGTATCGAGCGAGAGACACAAAATCGAGGGTGGTGCAATTATTGTCGTCGCTACCAGCAAGTGACGATTCGCAAGACCATTCACCGCATGCCTTTGATTCTCGTGCTCAATGCCGCCCTGACCAACCCTCTCTGCCGCCGGCTTTGGGCAATCCCAGGTTGGTTGCCTGACGCCGTTGGAGTTCTAGTTGATGCTAGCGGGCAGGTGATGTGCTTTGAGGGCGATGATCTTCGCGTCCGAATCCAAAATCAAACACCCGGGCTCGCGGTATATGATCTGGTGGGCTTGGTCGCGGAGATTGACATCCCAGAACATCAAAAGCCCCATTTGGTGTCTTTCGTCAATGTCTCCATTTCAGGTGCCGAATCCGAAGAACAAGGCAAATGGCACCTGTTCAATGACTTCTTGGTCACCGAGGTCGACAGGGATGAAGCACTCCGATTTACCCAGCCTTGGAAACAACCTTGCGTGCTAGCTTACCAAGTGAGAGACCCACGCCATGTGGTCGATGACTCTTGGAAGAACGCCCTCGATAAAACCCTGCTATTCCGCGAGTGGTCTTTGAAGTAAGTTTTTCAACATGATCAAGATTGACGTTTGGATAGAAATGCTAACAGTTGTCTTCTTGTAGTGGCGGCCGTCAGGTTGAGTCATGTCAGACTCTCACCGAGGAGGAAATGCCACAGCCCGGGACACCTGTCGCATTGGATACCGAGTTTGTTGATCTCGAAAAAGCCGAGATTGACGTCAAAGCAGACGGATCCCAGGAAATGGTACGCCCCAACAAGAGCGGGCTGGCCCGTGTTTCCGTCTTGCGCGGTGTGGGCGTCCACGAAGGAGTTCCCTTTATTGATGACTACATCACCATCCGTGAGCCAATCGTGGACTATGTGACCCAATATTCCGGTATCAAGCCCGGTGACCTGGATCCGCGAACCAGTGAACACAATCTTGTCCCACTCAAGGTTGCCTACAAGAAGCTTTGGCTGCTTCTAAACCTCGGCTGTGTATTCGTCGGTCATGGCCTAGCCTCTGATTTCCGCAAAATCAACATCCAAGTGCCCAAGGCACAAACCGTGGATACACAGTACCTCTTCTTCCATCCCGGGAAGAACCGACGTCTCAGCCTCAGGTACCTAGCCTGGGCTGTCTTCAAGGAGCATATTCAAGAGGAACCCTCACCCGACACCGTACAAGGTCATGATTCAATCGAGGATGCTCGTATGGCTTTGCGTCTCTGGAAAAAATTCCAGGAATACGAAGATGCAGGCATTGTCTCACAAATGCTGGAAGAAATCTTCCGCGAAGGTTCCAAGCTAGGATTCCGCCCACCTCCTAAAAATGGAGGCACCATCACAGTTCTTTCCCGACCTGGCACCGCTGTCACCATGCAGAATGACAGCGGTCGCAACACGCCTAGCACCCCGGACACACGGTCCGTGGTGCCAGTCGCCCCAACATCGGCCGCTCCCATCGCTGGATCCCCCAGTGCCCCTACCACCCCTCGTCAGGCTTTCAGGCGATCGATTGCCTTGACCCCGAGCAACGGGAGCTTTTCTGGACCTGGTACCGGTGATTTCTTTGGAGGTAGTCCACTTCGATAGATGAATATTCTTACATTTTTTTCACTTGGGTCTTTTGGCTCTTTCGACATCATATGTGTCGGAAAAGCCGATTCCGTATATTCTCAAACCGTTAGAAGTGATAAACTCAGCTTGTGGATAGAATAGATATAATAATTACATAGGTTCTAGTCTAGATAGTATAACTCTTTTTGGCCTAGAGTTATCAAAGTGTCCATCGAAATGCCAGAGATCTGGATGTACAACGATGCATGTTGTATATCAATGATCCGATACCGTAATTTCAAGGACACTATAAACTACTACTAGTGCTGTAATAAATGAGAAGCAAATGGCTACTGTAAAGGCCGATAAGAACTGAACAACACGCTTGCGGTTGATGAGGAGTCAACAGACAAAACTATTGAAGTGGGCGAAAAGTAAGAGAAGAGTGAAGTTCGCAGATAAAGATTGTTGAATTGGACAAAAAGACTCGTTTTGATTCCACCTCTAGCAGTGTGTGTATGTGTGTAGGAGAAGTGGAGTGTCGAAGAATAGGAAGGCGCGAATCTGTAGTCTACTAGTGCGAGCTTCTTAACTGCCTATATGAGACTATATGCATGTTGATCCCAATCATATCACACCCTCTTTTAGATTCTTTTCAGTAATAAAGCAAATGCTTCCCCGGTGACTCTGAGCGCTGCCTGGCATCTTATCCTATTCATCGCATGAAATGTTACATTCCAATTACGATGTAAGGCAGGGGAAAAGCAATTAGTCAGAAAGTCTTCATATTTGATCTTCTAGTAGTCTATCTCCATTGCGTACATATTTCCCTCGTCTGACTTGAACGCAACTTGTTCTTCAGAGTACCAATCATTGGTATTCATATTGCAGGATTCGAAAACCAATGGGTGTCAAGCTTTGTGAGCAACTTTGAGTTTGCTTTTGAGGCTATCTGGGCTGCTGGGACGAAAACAGACAGTTGAACTCGTTCAGGTAGAATCAGTCCTCAATCTAGGCTCATAGATGAAGAAATATGTACCATACTCCCCACTACCACCATACGCAGAGTCATCCTGGACAAGCTCTGCTATGAGTCGGAATCCCATTCGTTTATACAGTTCAGCTCCCTCTCTCAAAGCGTGGACGAAAATCTGTAACCCCATCTTATCCGCCTGATCCATCCCGCTCTTTACCAATGCCGAACCGACTCCTTTGCGCTGATTGTCCGGATGCACAGCAAGGTACTCCAGAGCTACCAACCAACGTGTTAGACAAGACATATCTTCCTCTAGAGTCGCACCGCACATCAAAACGCAACTTACTGATATACGGTGTCTTTGGCGTCACTTCCTTCTCGAGTGCGTTTACGCGATCTAACAGCTCGTCGGCATCGTCGTTTGGATCCCAGACAACAGTCTCGGCAATCTGCCGGATCTCGGCCTCCTTCTCGGGCTCGACTGCTGGGACCTGGGCCTCGGGCCATATCGGCGTGCCATCATCTGGGTTTATCTCATAAGACGGTGGTAGGCACCATCGGGCGTAGCCGAGTATGCGACCCGTCTCTATATCCACTGCTTTCTGGTGTCGTAAGGTCTCCCGTCTGTTTAGCAGATTGCGCGGGAAGCGTAGGGCTATCTGCGAAATGTGGTACTCGAGGGTCCGATGGCGCCAAGCTAGTACCCAGTGCGGGTCGGCCCAGAAAGCGGGGATGCTATTGGCGGCTAAAGCAGTGCCATCGGCGGCGCTACATTGGGAGAGAATAAAGGGAGCCATGTTCAGTTAATTAACTCCACGGAGTAGAGAGCATATGACTCGCAATGAATGTTAGATAGGTTTCATGGGAAGGTGTCATATAACGAGGTTGGTGTGAAGCTAGGCCGTCAGCCAAACTCCCTAGGCACTAACTAAGGCCTTCTTGGGACTAGGGTCCTGACAGAAGGGCACTATATTTGTAATAATGTCGAGTTGAAGCTCTAATAATGCTAGAGGCCGTACGGAGTCCGACTAGTATTATTACGTCATCATAACTCCGAAAGTTAGGAGGTAAGTAGAAGGCGGTGAAGAAGGCGGTCACCTTAATTGCTCCTAGTATATTACGGTCCCTTCTTCGTCACTTACGACCCCTCGTTCATTACCCCACCTCCTCACGCCGTAATGTCGCGACACCGTATTAAGGATGTCGAATACGACGATGATGATTTTTATGACGATGAGGACGCACCTGCTGACCCCGAAGAACAGGAGTTTTTGCAACAGTGTACTACCGCTGTTTTGCAACAGCTCGCTGCCGGGCAACCGTCAGTGACCGCCACGAAAGAAGAAGTCCAGGATGCATTATGGCACTACTATAATGATATCGAGAAGTCGGTCAATTATTTGAGGGGTATGTTCAATCTCAATCTGCACAGATACTCCACATAACATCATATTACCTATCGCGCGTTTGCGCGTTTGCGCTTTCAATTGTTTGTTGTGAAATTCGGCTAACCGAAGTTCTGCATGCAGGAAAGAGAGAGAAGGAGGCTACGAAGCTACAGAAATCGAAGATTCAATCAGGTAAGCAATGTTCATGGGGTAATTCTTATCCTAAAGTGTCGTCGCTGGGCTCGAGATCTGGGGCACATGATCTTCTGTGCTGTTGTTCCTTGCAAATGAAAATGTGTGTATCTGGTCCAAATCCATCCCATGTGATTTTTAGATACTCAAAACTGATGCCATCAAAGTTTGAACAATGTTCTAACAGGTCTTCCAGTGCCAGCATACCCTGCTCCTCCTTCTACAGCACACTTCTCGGCTGCCGATTTCTTTCGCGATTGTCCCTGGCTCAACATTCCCTCCCATCGGAAATCCGATATCCTGATTGAACCGCTTTATCCACGTTTGGGGCTCTTGGGAGGTGCACCGGAGAGTGGTGGAAAACTTTCCAAATTGGCCGCCCTGGCTGCAGCCCGGAAGAAAAAAGAGGGCGAGAAGGCACCACCCCTGCCGGAAACTTCGTCTCCATCAACTCCCAGATTCGAACAACCAAGAACATCCTCGCTTGATAATCTGGGCACATCGCGCTCTCTTCGTGACAGACTTGGAGCTAGCGGGAGGTCCACACCAAAGACTTCAGAGGGTTCTGAGTCTCCCCGTCGTTTGGCAACCCCAAGCTCCACATTGCATCCGACACCAAACCGGCCCGAATCTGAGACCAAAAAGCCATCGGTGTCTGAAGTTTCTGAATCAATGCAAAGGGTGGTGCTTGAAGCGAAAGAAGAACCAGAGCCCCAGCAAATAGTGTCCACCATTCGAGCCGCGCCCTCGACATTTGCCAGCACTATCGTTGGCGCAGCAACTGGTCCGACAGCAGCTGAGCCCAGCCACTTACACTCCAACAGCTCAGACCTGTTGAGGATCTATGGACAGGATCATGCTGAACCTTTTGACTTTGCAGCGCCCAGCCCCGACGATGTCGTTCTCAATGCACAGAACACAGCGAAAGGTTTGGCGACCCGCAGGAAGGTTTAGAGGCAATTGCCTAATAATTTGTAGGAATGAAGTCGAAATCTGCCGCATCGAAATCGGCAGCGGTGAAGAAAGGCCAGTCTGACCTGGCAGGTGGCATGAAGGATCTATCAGTGGAAGACAAAGTGACTGTCAAGAGCAAAAATCTTGATGTAATATCAGAGTACAAGAAATCCACCCGCAAGCGGTCCGCAAACTTTGTGGTTATTGGTAAGTTGATCTTCAATAGCGAGAAGGTGCGGGCCTAGACTAACTCATATCCAATACAGGTCATGTTGATGCTGGAAAGAGCACTCTCATGGGACGGCTGTTAGCAGATCAAGGTGCTATTGACCAACGGACTCTGGATAGGTATCGGCGAGAGGCCGAGAAGATCGGCAAGGGCTCATTCGCACTAGCCTGGGTGCTGGACCAAGGGTCGGAGGAGAGAGCACGAGGCGTGACGATAGATATCGCCACTAATCAGTTCGAGACCGACAAGACAGCCTTCACCATTGTTGATGCACCTGGTCACCGTGATTTCGTCCCGAACATGATCGCTGGTGCCAGTCAGGCAGACTTTGCTGTTCTGGTCATCGATTCCAGTGTGGGCAAGTTCGAGTCAGGCTTGAAGGGTCAGACTAAGGAGCACGCCCTTCTGGTGCGCAGCATGGGCGTTCAAAAGATTGTGGTGGCTGTGAACAAGATGGATACTGTGCAATGGGATCATGAACGATTCGAAGAGATTGAACAGCAGATCTCCGCGTTCTTGACCACTGCAGGTTTCCAGGACAGCAACATTTCGTTTGTGCCGTGCTCAGGAGTTCTGGGTGATAACATTTCTCGACGAACTGATGACCCTCATGCATCCTGGTACACAGGTCGCACATTGATTGAAGAACTGGAAACGTCGGAGCCATACACACACGCCCTCGAAAAGCCTTTACGTATGACGATTGGTGACGTCTTCCGAGGTGGTGTGCAAAGTCCGCTTTCCATCTCTGGCCGTATCGATGCAGGCAGCTTGCAGATGGGCGACCAGATCCTGGTTATGCCCAGTGGTGAAACAGCAACTGTGCGCAGTTTGGAGGTGGACAGTGAACCAAGTGACTGGGCCGTGGCAGGTCACAACGTCGTCTTAAACATTGCCAATATCGACCCTATCCACCTCCGTTCGGGTGACGTTGTTTGCCGACCTTCCTCTCCCATTCCTACTATCACTTCTTTCACCGCCAAGGTTCTGGCCTTCGAACACCTGATGCCCATGCAAGTGGACGTGCACCGTGGCCGCCTACATGTACCTGGTCGCATCAGCAAGCTGGTTGCATCTCTGGACAAAGCATCAGGAGCGGCTATCAAGAAACGTCCTAAGATTGTCGGTCCGGGTGTTGTGGCGCGTGTTGTGGTTGAAATGGATCAAGCTGTTCCTCTAGAAGCACCGACCAGGATTGTCCTGCGCGCAGGAGGCTCAACGGTGGCTGCTGGTTTATTAGAATGAGCTCTTTTAGTTAAAATCCATCTCATGAATATACCATATTTTCTCGTTGTTGGTAGTACGTTACAGTTCATCTGGAATTTTGAACCTAAAAATATATATCATCGTGGTTATACAACATATATCTAGAGCTCGCTGCCCAGTGATTAATTTTTTTTTGTATATGATTATGAATATTTATTTCGAAAGAATTTCAAGCTCAATTATTGAATGCACTATTGGATTATATCGCGCGAGCAGTGCCATTAGAGTTAGACTCGTCAATTGTGTACTAAATTCCCAGGGCCTGGTGGGTGCTCTCACGCCCCCCGTACTCGGGAGATCCCCGGCCCAAATCTAGGCCCGCAGTACGGAGTGTACTCCGTACCTTGCCATCATATTCTTCGATCGAGATGCCACTTGTCCTAATCAATGAATCGACATCAAATTAGGCTATTGCAACGTAGCATAGAGCCATGTAGCAACACGTGGTCAGTATCAAGGACATGAGTCAACCGGGTAAACTTCAGCAGTGACTAGATCGCGGGAATTCCCCGAAGGGGCAAACATTTGGCCCCCTTCTAGCAAGTTCGATCATTTGGCAGTCGTTTATTGGTGGAAGCCCTGAGTAGTCTGTGGATAGACCCCTGCCACTAAACTGTTTTGGGAAGCGCAATGCCTGTTGAAGAAGGCGGTGTGGCTGCAGGGTGTTTTCTGAGTCAGCCACTGCCGAACGAAAGCCAGCCAATCAACGCACGAGGAGTGACCTGAACTGGGAAAAGGCCAGCATGGCCGCTGGGCCGTATCCGCGTACAAGAAGTCCTCTTTCTTCGATTCTTCTCCTGATCATTCTCCCATTCACTCACTTCGCCCTGGGTCCCTTTCCCACATATCATCGACTAACATAAGGGTTCATAGAGTCAAACACGCCTTGTGTTTACTCGTCTGCGCAGCTGTTTAGAGCGGCACGCGCGAAGCTTCCATAACGAAAGCTTCTTTGTCTTCGTGTTGAAAAAGGACTTCGATCCACCTACCTATACATACACTTCTCACAATGGCTCGCCTATCCGCACGCGATGGTGCGTCCAAGCCCTTCGCCTGGACCACCATCTTCTACCTTCTCTTCGTCCTCGTCGCGCCTCTGGCGTTCTTTGGAAACACCGCCCATGCCCAGGAAGAAAACTCCCCTGAGAGCTACGGCAGTGTTATTGGTATTGATTTGGGAACCACTTACTCGTATGTTGCCTCGGTCTCGAGAATCATTGATGTTGAATGAAGACAGTTTGCTAACTTGAATTTTAGTTGTGTTGGTGTGATGCAGAACGGCAAGGTCGAGATTCTTGTCAACGACCAAGGAAACCGTATTACCCCGTCTTACGTTGCTTTCACCGATGAGGAGCGCCTCGTTGGTGACGCCGCCAAGAACCAATACGCCGCTAACCCCGAGCGCACCGTCTTCGACATCAAGTAAGCTTCGACCACACCCATCACAATATGAATTCAGCACTAACGCATCGCAGGCGTATGATTGGTCGCAAGTTTGATGACAAGGACATCCAGAAGGACCTGAAGAACTACCCCTTCAAGGTCGTCAAGAAGGATGGCAAGCCCCAGGTCAAGGTCGACGTCAACCAGTCCCCTAAGACCTTCACTCCTGAGGAGGTTTCCGCCATGATCCTCGGTAAGATGAAGGAGATTGCCGAGAGCTTCTTGGGCAAGACTGTCACCCACGCCGTTGTTACCGTTCCCGCCTACTTCAGCGACGCCCAGCGTCAGGCTACCAAGGATGCCGGTACCATCGCCGGTCTCAACGTCCTCCGTGTTGTCAACGAGCCCACCGCCGCCGCTATCGCCTACGGTCTTGATAAGACCGGTGACGAGCGCCAGGTCATTGTTTACGATCTTGGTGGTGGTACCTTCGATGTGTCTCTTCTGTCTATTGACAACGGCGTTTTCGAGGTTCTCGCTACCGCTGGTGACACTCACCTTGGTGGTGAGGATTTCGACCACCGTGTCATGGAGTACTTCGTTAAGCAGTACAACAAGAAGAACAACACCGATGTCAAGAAGGATCTCAAGGCTATGGGTAAGCTCAAGCGTGAGGTTGAGAAGGCCAAGCGCACTCTCTCTTCCCAGATGTCCACTCGCATTGAGATCGAGGCTTTCCACAACGGCGAGGACTTCTCTGAGACCCTCACCCGCGCTAAGTTCGAGGAGCTTAACGTTGATCTGTTCAAGAAGACCCTCAAGCCTGTTGAGCAGGTTCTCAAGGACGCTAAAGTCAAGAAGTCCGAGGTTGACGACATCGTTCTTGTCGGTGGTTCTACCCGTATCCCCAAGGTCCAGGCTCTCCTCGAGGAGTTCTTCGCCGGCAAGAAGGCCAGCAAGGGCATCAACCCCGATGAGGCCGTTGCCTTCGGTGCCGCCGTCCAGGGTGGTATTCTCTCCGGCGATGACTCCATGGTCGACGTTGTTCTCATGGATGTCAACCCCCTCACTCTCGGTATCGAGACCACTGGCGGTGTTATGACAAAGCTCATTCCCCGCAACACTGTCATTCCTACCCGCAAGTCGCAGATCTTCTCGACTGCCGCCGACAACCAGCCCACCGTCTTGATCCAGGTGTTCGAGGGTGAGCGCTCCATGACCAAGGACAACAACATGCTCGGCAAGTTCGAGCTGACCAACATCCCTCCCGCGCCCCGTGGCGTTCCCCAGATCGAGGTCGCCTTCGACCTCGATGCCAATGGAATCCTCAAGGTCAGCGCCTCCGATAAGGGCACCGGCAAGGCTGAGTCCATCACCATCACCAACGACAAGGGTCGTCTCTCCCAGGAGGAGATCGACCGCATGGTCCAGGAGGCCGAGCAGTATGCCGAGGAGGACAAGGCCATCAAGGGCAAGATCGAGGCCCGTAACGGCCTTGAGAACTACGCCTTCAGCCTGAAGAACCAGGTCAACGATGAGAACGGTCTGGGTGGCCAGATCGATGAGGATGACAAGCAGTCCATCCTCGACGCTGTTAAGGAGGTCAACGACTGGCTCGAGGACAACGCCGCCACCGCTACCATGGAGGACTTCGAGGAGCAGAAGGAGCAGCTTTCCGGTGTGGCTTACCCCATCACCAGCAAGCTGTACGGCTCTGCCTCTCCTCCTGATGAGGATGACGAGCCCCTTGACCACGACGAACTGTAAAATTATCTTTGAGGCATTATTCATGGAGTTCCACTTTTTTTTCTCTTGCTTGAGTCCCTTTTTGTGTTCGAATCTACACGGGGCACTGTTGGTGTCCCATCCAACTTTTAGGCCTGGTTAAACGCCGGCTAAGAATACAATACAATGATACCTCGCATTCTTCTATTATACATAGTGCCGCGGCCAATTTCATAAATTTCATAAATCTTTTGAATCGCACTAAATACACGTTGAGTCCCGACGTACCTTGGTACTTACTACCTATTTCATACATGCCCGAGGCATGGGATGTCTATGTAGAAGGTATATTCTGTCCGCCTTTGCTTTCTTCTGTAATCACCACGTAGTAAGTGTTGTCTCGTTTAAATGCTCTTCTGTGCTGACTAGATACGACATCTATTGTGCTTGCTGAGCGATAAACGCTTGAATAGTCTCGGCAACAACCTGATGATCATCCTCTTGCTTTAACCCACTAACAACAACAACACCAATAACCCCATCCACACCACGCACGCGGATCGGGTAGGCACCACCATGAATAGCATACTCATCCGCAACAGCACCGCCATTGGCACTCGGAACAGAGTACTTCTTAACAAAAGCAGCCTCGACCTGGTCCGCGTCGGCATCAGCCGGGAGGCCACTAACGGTCTTCTGTCTCATAGCCCAGCTTGAGATACCAAAGCGGAGCACGGTGTTGCGCTTCCGGCGCACCCAGTTCTCGTTGTCTGGGATCGTGCCACTCTCCGTCACAGCCTGGAACACCACGTGGAGTGGGGCTCCGCCGCTGAGAGCAATGGAGATCAGGGCCGGTTGGCGTTGTCCGCTGGGGAGGCGGAGGATTCGCTCCCTCAGTGCATTTCCTAGCTGCCAAGCAGTGTCTGCTGTGAAGGTGGGGAAGATTTGCTCTGCGCTTGTTTCTTGAGCGATCAGGACTTTAGGCTGTTTCTTGATTAGCTTTCGGGGTTCGGGTTGTTGGAAGCGTGGGGGACTTACATCTGTGCTAGGTGCGGAAAGAGCCATGATCGATGGAGTGTGAGGTTTGCTTTGGTATGCAGCTATGTATGTAAAGGGCGAAGAAAAGTTGAGAGTAACCTTGGGGGGTCAATTGGTATTTCTATGGACGTGGGGGTCATGTTAGCCATGGAGGGGGTGGACCTTCCTTTCGGCGCATCGGTGACGTCGCTGAGATCTCGACTTTTCCCAAAATTATTGCTAATTAAATTACATGACTGTATACTCTGCAGTCGACCTCACAACATCTATATACTATGTTGGATGTACATCGTTTATATCCAACTAAATCCCCATGTCGAGATCGGCAAATATGCCGAAAATACCCCTCCTTGGGGAACTCTGACGTCTCCGCATTCCGATATACAACATACATCTCAACATGCCACTTTCAATAACTTAGGTCCTCATGCCACCCAAACGAGCCTGCGATACCTGTATCTCCCGGAAAGTGAAATGCAGCGGTTCTTGGCCCTGCGATACTTGCCGCAGTGCAGTAAAGCAGGTGCGCTGTACGTACCTGAAGCCCGCGCATAGGAGGGGCCCGAAATCTCGGCGGGTAATAAGCCGCCGAGAACCCGCCATCCCCGAGATTCAATCTACAGGGTATCCACAAAATACTCAAGAAAATGCACACGCACAAAACGCTTCTCGGCGGCTTATTACCCGCCGAGAACCCGCCATCCCCGAGATTCAATTTACAGGGTATCCACAAAATACTCAAGAAAATGCACACGCACAAAACGCTAGCGATGAGGCCGTTTCTTCATCTGCCCCAGCCTGCAGCCCCCAGTGCATTCCAAGGACAATCCTTGCATCAGTGATCCGTTTGTATCAGCAATATTCATACGGTGTCTGGCCTGTAGTCAACGCAGAAGCTATTTTAGTAAACCTCGAGGATATACATCCAGAAAGAGTTGACTCCAATGCCGGGAACACTTCCTGTCTCATCATGGCCCTCTGTGCTGCCACAATGGCTCAGTTGCATCTTGATCCTTTCGTAGATGGATCCCGGACAGTGGATAGCACCACAATGGCTCAGGCTTGCCTGCGAATGCGTGCAAGTTACGACAGCCATGGAGCAAATCTGGATCTCAGAAGCGTTCTGGTGTCTTTCTTCTTACATGTGTACCACGCCAAGGTCAACCAACGAAATTCGGCAATGATGTTCATCCAAGAGGCCATGGCCGGAGCTCGTATCCTGAGACTGAATGAAGAGTTCCCGCACGAGGAAGATGAGTTGATTGTAAGCAAGGCCTTGGTATTTCCGCTACTTTGGGTATCAGAGAGGTAGGCCAGAACCTGTGAACACGCAGAGTAACTTATTAACTGTCCACAGAGGTTATTCACTACACCTGAATCTCTCTCCTTCATATATTGACCCTCCTGAATTAATAAATTTGGAGAGAGATATGAATGCTGATTTTCATGCCCAAGGGCTGCTAGAGCTCGTTAAGCTCTTCATTGCATTTGATCAAATATCGATACGGCGCAACTCGCGTCCTGGGGTTATCATGGCTACACATTTGACCGACACCGAGCTGAAGGTTGCCTCACTATGCTTCAGCATGGCTAATCACGTTTCGACCCGATCAGCAGATTACCACATCACGCGGGAGTGGATGAGGACTATCCTTTGGCAAGAGGCACTCGCTTTGGGATTACTGTCTTCTTCGCCGTGCACATCCGTCTTGGCTTTTGGATTTCCAGCGCAAGTTGGCCGTGCCTTACTGCAAGCCTTGCGGGGTTTTAGTGATACGGATTTGCTCCCATTAGGACGAGACCAGGCTAGTGCCTTGATACCAAGGAAATGCAGGCTATGGCTAATGTCATTTTGCAGTTACTGAAATGCTTCGAAGTTGCCAACTCGCTGGCGGACACGGTTATTTTGTCCCCACACAAAATAAGTTCTCGGCTCGAACTAGGACCACAGGACTTTCTGCATGCATTATACCAGAAGATAGCCCCGTTTCTCGAGCAGGATACCATGTTAAAATCAATAATTCGAGCTAAAACTGCTGAGGCTCTAGTCGCGGCTCCAGCTCGCTTACTGACAATCGGGGAGGAAGATGCGGGCCTGCAATTGGGCGGAAATGGACCCGGTGGTCAAGCTCAGATTTTCGGATACATACCAAACAGCGAGCTCGATGAACAGAACGAGTTAATACCAGATTTATCAGACTGGCTAGAACAACCTATCTGCAGATAATTTAACAATCATCTGGTCAAAACTTCCACCGGATCATTCTGTGATCTGAAGGACAATCCGTCCTGAAATATCACCCTTCTCCATCTCTTCATATACCTGAGGCAAATCCTTAAATGGCCGGACCTTGACCACAGGCTTGACAATACCACGTTGTACCATATCAACAGCCTCCATACATTCCTTCAGCGAGCCCACCAGATTACCCGTAATCCTGAGGCCCTTGATCACAATCGTGCAGATGGGAGTCTCCAAGCTCGGTCTTCCCGGGGGAATACCAACACAACTCAAAGTACCACCAACCCGCAGCATATCACAAGCATGTGCAAACGCCTTTGCATTACCTGCTGTTACTACAGCAGCATGGGCACCCAAGCCAGTAATCTCTAGCACCCTCTTGACGGGATCCTCACAGGCAAAGTCGATAAATTCCTGCGCGCCGAGACCTTTGACAAACTCTCCCTTACCAGGACCAGTGTCAACACCAATTACCAGAGCCCCTTGAGCTCTTGCATATTGAACTGGACAATATCAGTCGATTGCAACTCATCTCCCAGACCACACAGAAAAGGAAAACACATACCAGCCAAATGCCCAAGACCACCTCCGGCTCCAACAACCACCAGCCAATTCCCAGGACGAACATTCGCATTCAAGACGGCCTAATCAATCACCAATTAACTCCAAACCACACAACACAGAGCCCCAAACCCACCTTATAAGCCGTCAAACCCGCACAAAGCACCGGCCCCATAACCTTTGGATCAACATCATCAGGCAAAATCGTCAAGTAATCCGCATCGAGCGCAATGTACTGTTGAAAAGAGCCATCCTCGTGGTGAAGATGGTTCGTACTAGAAATGCAGTACTGCTCTGTACCCGCAAGACAGAACTCGCACCGTCGACAGATGCGGCTTGCGAACCGGATCCCGACCAGCCCGCCGACTTTCAGACCCGCGGCGTGCGTGATATCTTGTCCAAGCGCGACCACCCGGCCGATACCTTCGTGGCCGCCCACGTGTGGAAGTTTAATCTTTGTGATCGAATTGCCGTCTGGTCCGGCTGCGGTGCCGGATTTAGTATGTAGATCTGTTGATGTGTTAGACTGGCTCTTGTTGAGAGATAGATGGCATTCAAGTGAGAGCGCTGGTTGGACAATTTGACAGAATACATACCGCTCTGGCAGACGCCGGTGTAGAGCACTTTGGCGAGGACTTCGTTGCGTCCCGGGATTGGCACAGGATAGTCTGTTCTGAACTCGACTTGGCCGCCCAGGGAATGGACGAGAGCGACTGTTTGGGTCTGTGGGATGTTGAAGGAGTCCATTGTTATTTGAATTTTATCTTGCCGAGGAGATATTGGATGGAATGTGGGGTATGTTTAGAAGATATTGGATTATGCGTGTTATATAGGCGAAATGGCTATATTTATATCCAAAACTCGAGCCTACATTGTGATACTGAGTATGGATTGTGGGATGTCGTGTCATCAATGAACCACCTCAATTTTCCGAGTGTACATTAAGTGGTGCATGATGTACTATCTTGAGCGGGGAATTTGCATTATCAGTTTTTTCTCCAATCCAGGCCAAGTAATAGATATGACTGGTCAGAGATGTGATTTGATCATCAGGTGAGGAGGAAGTGGACAGCCTATTCAATCTTTGTGTAGATGATGTGAATATCAACAAGACAGACTCGGATAAATAGAGTAGATCAGACTTGGATACCTTTTACCATTGGTAGTCAGACCATGAAAATGAACTTCATAGATGTGACACTGCATGAAAACATGCTAATTCTCCGAGTCAATTCTCCGGGGGGTTTCGTGCATTGCAGATCTCCTTACCTATGGCAGCATGTACAAATAGAAAAGAAGAGGACTTGTATGTTCCATTGACTACTTAACCTATGGAAGCTTTCTGTGTCTTTTTTTGTTTTGTCTTTTTCTTCTTCTTTGGATGTTACGCTTCAAATCGCTAACTATCCTCAAGTAAAATGGGTATGTAAAATCGCAATAATTTCAGTCCATCCGTCCGGATACCCCGAGATCAAGAAACCAGACTCAAAGCCCCAAACACCATTCCCAACGCATAATGTGAAGCCAACGCATAATGTGAAGCCGAAAGCCCTGACTAAAAGAAAACAGTCGCAATCCAGGTAGTCACACGCCATCCGCAATGGGGTACCGGGAATTTCGTTAAACATTTAAACGTCGTCCATATGCACCGCACGGGCGTAAGATCCCTTCGTAGGGGTAGTTGGGGTAGTAGGCAAATCACCAGTCTCGATATCCCTTCGTGTCCTGTATGTACGAGGGCTGGAGCTCGGGGTGGTAAGTGGAGTGACAAATAACTCCCCGTTCTTCTTACGCATCCAGTGTACGCGTAAGTGATCGAGGGCGGTCTTGAAGTCGTCGAGAATGACTGTGTCGCAGAGGCATTTGAAGATAAAGGATAACTGGGATTGTTAGTGTGTGTTGTGGGAAAATGGAAACTAGATGGACAGCGTAGGGTTTACCTTCCAGAACGGCTCGACACCTGTTGGGAGCATGCTGGAAAAGACATTCAACACGCTGCAGGTATCGACAATCATGAAAATAATTGACAGACACATTGCTGCCAGCATGATTCCGAAGCGTGGGCTGACTACTACTAGCTCCCATAATCCGAAGTTGTACTCGCGCTTGATTGTCCAGAATAGGCTGGCCGTTGTGAAGATCCACCATGGGTCGCTGTTGATAGATTATGTTAGGGCGACAGGAATTCAAAATTTGAAAGAGCAGTAGTTGATATTTGGGCAGAAGGGGAATGACGAACCGGAATAATGGCTCCATTGGCCGAGTCGTTAAGAAAATCTTATTGATATTGTTGAAGTATGTGAAGTTCGCATAGATCTCCAGAGCCCAATAGGGCCAGCAGAGGATCACAGTGGTAATGTAGATTATTGAGACCTTTCGTGATAAGAATGGGCGGTTCTTCATCCAGGCAATGACATTATGTAGAGCCCAGGAGATGTTGAGACCGATCGCGGTCACGGATAGATACCAGCCGTAGACCGGCTCGTGGGGGAAGATGAAAGTACCATGGGCCATAGCCAGGATGAGCTATAGTCAATCCAAATATTAGCCGAAGATTCATAGCCCATATATGAGTGGGCCAGTCTTTTTCCTTACCTCAGCGAAGATCAACTTATGCAAGAGAATATGTGACTTCATATTGGCAAGAGTGATAGCAGCCATAATGAGTAGACTTCCGACCATCAGACCCTGACCCCAAGCCTCGAGGATCAGGGCATCGGCCTCGGAAGGCTTCGAAATATGATCGGTAGCCATCGTGGGCTGTATTCATGTCAACCGTCGGCGGTTGCTGGGGAGTTATCGTGGAGGGTAAACAAAGGCTAGGCAAATTAGGGAAGAGGTGGAATAGGGGGAAGAGTTCACAATAGAGAGAGATGTAGAGAAAATCGATGAAGCGCAAACTTCATGAAGGCAAAGAAGTCACAAAAAGAGCCGTCTTCATCTCGCGCATACGTGCAACATCATTAGGGTTCAGAGTGAAGATGAAAGGAGATTTATAATTTATTAATTCAAGATTCGCATAAGCACCGCAATTAGCGTAAGTTATTCCTTGTCTTATTTGGCTAATTCAACCCGAAAAAAAGCAATTTGTGACGCCACCAGATGGTCTAAAGTTGTTGGCTCTACAGGGGTTGTAGGCTGGAATAGGGCACAACCTGGGAAGTTGAAGACTCAACGTGCAACACCTTTAGAAACACCTTTAGATTTCAATGTCACCACAATCGTTTGTCTCTTATCTTCCTGGCCAGGCAATTTCACACTGCCTTGGGGAAACCCCGGGAAAAGCCCGGAGATCCCCTGAGACCCCCTGACTGGGGGGTCTCCGCGATGAGTCGGATGTGTCCGTGCCTGCGGAGAAACGGAGGTGGCGTTCATGGGGTTACGAGCTAAGCGAGCTACTGCACGGTATTTTGGTTTTTAATCTCGCGTTTGTCATAATTTTGAGGCCAATCAAGAATGAAGTGGCCTAAAGAAAGGCAGTTTTACTATTCCACACAACATAGATCAAGCAAAGATCCAAAACACGCGTGTTTCAGAACTCAACGGCACAAAGAAGATCAAGAACATTGAGGTCATAAAAAAAAACAAAGAATACAAAGGATACAAAGGACCTTAAGAAGTCTAATTGTCAGGTCTTTGTGTTCCCGCTATTTCTCCGTCTCTTACGTCTATTGACTGGTCGCTTGGCGATGGAGGGTCATTTAACCCGAGCTTTTAGTCAACGAAATGTTTCATATTATATACACTTTTTCTCTTCGTCAATTTACCTACGAAAGTAGAATAGGACTCTCTGCTCGATCCACAGGTTCATGTTATTAATTACCCCAGCACATGCATGCGGTTCCCGAGGTCCTTCAGTGCCGTGGAGTCTGTGCTATTAGCCAATGGTCCATTACCCCGGGGCCGAGTATACCACCAGATTTACCTCTTTTAAAGCCATCCAATATACGGTGCTCGTATAACTCAATGTAGCAAACATGCAGCGAACGTGCAACGAACGTTAGAAACATACGCAATCCAATACTTCCGATCGCGCGGGGAGTGAACCCAGAAATTATAAAATTGAACAGTCTGAAGCCACAACCACTTCCACCACGCCTAGTGCAAAAGAAAATTGGTAATAGGCATCAGTCGCAGATCTCTTCTAACATTTATGAGCCGAATACACTGCCAATCCTGCAATTACACGTCCTGCGATACTCGTTGGATATATGCGAGAGGACGCGGACGCGTATGAGGCCTTTATCCTCAAAGATGTAGGGCTTCAGTAGTCAAACTTATCCGGTTCGAGATGACATAAGGGACCTTATTTGTAAGACGGCACTTCGATCTTCTTTTTGGATGTTCTTTGAGATATCCTTTTACTTACATGTTTAGCTAGAAGGATGATCATTAGCTATAGAAGGGAAGACATGTTCGATTTATCACTCTGCGACATACTAAGAGGTAAAAAGCATGAACCGCACAGAAGCCTTTTTTACTTATAACCAAGGTACATAGCGCTGAAGAAGAGTGAATTAGAACAATGATATTTGTCTGCCGCGGTTTCCCTGCGCCTGATGATCTGTTCAACCAACACGTCATAGCTGTCGCACCCGTAGCCAATTTCTGCAATTTGAGACTGTCTTCCGATGGCCACATTCCCTTCATTGTGGGATCTGGCTTCTTGCTGTTGTACGCGGCATGAGCAGACTCTAAATATTATGAATAGGAGGAAATATATCCTTGGGGATCACCTGGTTCCAGCTATTAGTATAATATTACACCCTTAAAAGAGTATAGAGCACTTCATCGCGTATATATATTCTGCACGTGGTAGCTCAACGAATATTTTCTTAACTAAACATCTATGTGTAAATGGACATGTGTATGTTTGCTTGTTGTTTTATGCCTTTACTATGAACAATTGCTTATGCTAGAACTACACAAGGTGCAGAGTGCCCGGAGAGAATTTATCCCAGACCCAATATTAACATTCGCGTTCCTCTCGACTCTTACAGCCTCTTCACCTCCTTTATATGTTACCGAGCTGATACAGGCGAGACCAATAAGCTAGAATATGTACCAGCTTCGTTTTAAGATCAGAACACCTTGATTGCGATACGAAAAATGAGAAGATCCTGCTTGCTCCTCAGGTCCTTACATTCGTCCGCTTCTTTTCCACATCGTCTCATTCATAAGAGGGCGAGCCTAGAATATTTTCATCCTCGACCTCGTACATTATTTTGTCACTACATTAAAATCGACCGATCCAACCATGAACCCAATAACGAATCGGGGTTATTTCCACAGCCGCTACCGGGTAGTCCGTAAGCCTGGCCATGGTACATACCCAACGATCTGACTAGCCTAGGACGAGAAATCCAACAGATGCGTGGCACTTAATGTTTTTACGGCTGATTCAAAACCCCTCAAGATTGATGTACTCTCCAAACTGTCTGAAGCCCAACAAAAGTTCGGTAGTACATTCATGGGGTGCAATTGAGCATGAGGCTTACATTCCCACCACCTCCCACCGGCGACTCAGAAAGGATGTCGGTTCCCAGGATTTCCCCTGTGGTGCTTACCACATCAACTCCATCACCACAAGAAGACGGTTACTGGTCTCCGCTCTCTGAATGACCCCAATTACCCCATCCACTCCGTTAGCTACGGTAGCTGCTAGCTACTTAGTGAGGTAGACAGTCATGCCTTCCTGGCATACGACTACATTTAAAAGGTCAAGAAGTTTGATGGTGACGACAATGAAGTTGCATCTTACTGCGACTACCACTGCCAGTGGACTGCCTTTCCTTTTTGGAACCCTCCATACCGGTGAAAATCACCAGCTCTGGTGCCACTGTCTACATGAGCTGGAACGGCGCTACTGAATATGACAACTGGGTCTTTTATGTAGCTTCCTTTGCAATATTAACTAATAACACTTAGATTACTATAGTTAAGCTTATTGCCTTCGAGACTTCTGCTACTATTGTTGACTCTACTACTAATTTCGTTCGGGTTGTCGCTCGCATAGGTACCGCCGTTCTCAGCACCTTAAAGAGTATCCCATTCTAAGCGGGTCATGGATTTGATCTGGGCGAAAACTTACCCTTACCTTCATTCCCTAGGTGTAGGTTTATTGATTATACCTGAATTTTTCTTCTTTTTAGCTATATTCTGAGCATCTTTTCATAGTGCAGTTTCACATAGTGTTGAATTAGGTGCACAATGACCTCCATTAGGCATACAAGCTGTTAATCCATTTGAATTACCATTATTAAACACTATTCAGCTCTTCTTCCTAAAGTTTTTCTTTCACGACTCCTAGTTTGGTCACACCTATCATATACTTACTTTCATGTACAAACCTGACATCATATTTTGAACATACAATTACTTTCTTTTTTTGGCACATCTTGATCTCAAGCAAAATTTCGAAGAACTGGAAATTTGTTACATACCTAGGTAGAGTAATTATATCAGATTAGATCTATATCTCATCTAGCCCTATCAATCGTTTGGCTTTCTAGCTAAACCACCGGGTTGCTGCAATGGCAAGATGGCGATATTCCTAGTCTGAATCACAGTATAGTGTTACATCTATCAAACCTTTCGTATGTTGCACAGAAATTTAGGTCTGTCTTACCATTTTCTCTAATGGATGTTGGACATCTCGCTGAAGATGCCACAAATGAGGGTCCGACCTTTGGGCGTGCCACATGAACTACCGAGTTGTCCTATTCCTTAAATTCAAGTTCTGCAGCAGGCCATTCTAGGAGGGGCTTATATCTCCATTATAAGCCCCTGAAGTTCTCTATCTGACATTCCTCGGTGGTTTCAAACCCAAAAGAATTCTCCGTGTTGTCTCGCTATAAAAGCTCACATTCCTGAGGGGGAAAATGAATGCTTAGAACGCCACAGTTGCCCTAGCCACCGAGTTTTATATTTTGATCAAGTCCAGAGTTTCAGATGGTAGTATCAGCCTGTGTATCCAGACTGTGTCATGCCGTTCACGGGTGGAACTGACTATAAAGGTTGTTGAAGAAGTATAATCCTTCAACTTTGCTCTGCAGTCTGGCCTATAACTATAGAATAACTTGATTCATTCCTTTTTAAATTATACCTCGAGGTAGAGTACTCACATTCTTTGGTAAATTATATTAGACACCTGTAAAATATCCGACAGTTTGGCTCTTCCCATTCTATCCTCAACATACAATATAAAATGAAAGGCCCGCACATTCCACGCTGGAACTTAAGAATCTCGGAAATCAATCTTGTCGATCGTCCGATCTTGCTCTGGGGATAAAAAGTCAACATGGGCACTAACTAGGGAAATGGTAACATTCTTCATCTGTTTCTGTTGAACAATCGGAGGGGTCCTCCTTGGCTACTACATTGTGATAGTTTCGCACCCCTTCATTTTGCGCCACATCTACATAGCACAACATGACTTGGCGTCCAATTTCCCCTGAGCTAGGGCTCATAGCAACTGCCTAGAAGCATCCTGCCGCGAAGAATCAGATCCAATGGTCTAGGCTCGCAGTACAACACAACAACAAGTGGAATGATACTAGATGCAGGAATAGAACACGCCTATATAAAGCCATCCCCATTCCTAATTCTAACCCAGGAATAACGAAAGAGTATCCCAACAGCCCCACAATCAATCAAGCAAGATGCATCTCTCAACTATCCTCCCTCTCCTCTCGCTCACCACTCTCGCCCTCTCGACCCCAAAAATCCACAACAACCACCACGGCCCAAGAGACATTGCTTTCAGTGCCTATCCATCCTCAAGCAGTGGCCCATTGAGACCACTGAGCACGCCACCACCGGCGCACCGAAATCTGGGCCATGCGATAGTGCACAACAACTGCAAATTCCCAGTCTACCTCTGGTCCGTGGCCTCTACGGTCCTACCGGAGCGAACTCTCCTCCCGAACGATAAGTACACTGAGGTCTTCCGCGAGAACCCCGACACTGGCGGCATCGCAATCAAAATCAGCACCAACCGTGACGGGCTGTATACCAGTGCGCCGCAGATGATTTTTGCATACAATCTTTCCTCTACAAAGGAGCGGGGTCTGAGACAGGATAAAGTGTGGTATGATCTCTCTGATGTCTTCGGGGATCCGCTTGTCGGTCACCCGGTGAGTCTCACGCCTTCTGAACCGTTGATTTCTTGGAAGAATGGAGTTCCGCCTGCTGGAAGTCAGGTGAGGGCTGTTGATGCTTCGACGGATTTGGTCCTGTCACTTTGTTGAGAGTTTACGGGTTTAGTTTGGAGTGAGAAGGGATCAGAGTATAAAATTTATGTTCAGACATTGTTAAGGAATCTGGATATGTGTGTGAGTTGGATATGTTAGTGATGCTCAATTGAATTACTCGACTTCGTATGTCTAATTACTCATTTTTATTGGTGTCGCGGAGGATATATAGGGTTGCAGACGTCATGATCGGCGGATTTCAACCTCGGCTGTAGGATATAGAGGCATTGGATTCCAGTTTCTCCATTTTGGAGAATCCTATATGAATATATTGGATAGCTATGAATAATTCACCGGAATAAGGGAGTAGGAAGAGAGAGAAAGAGAGTGCAGAACCAAAAAACAAACCTCGGCCAGAAGTCCGGGGCATTTCCCCGCATTTCCCCAATTTGTCCCACATTTCTTCTTCCAGTCTCTTGACCTTCTTTGACCTTTCTCTACTTCAACTTCACTTTCCCTCTCTCCTCATCCTACACAGTCTAGGGAAAACATAGAGCAATGGTTTCTCCAGCAATCAGAGTCGCCCCCTCGGCGGCCAATCGAGCCCTGAACTTGCTACGCACAGTACAATACACTCACCCACCCAACTGCCCATGCCACAAGAACCCCAACCACCACCACAACCACCAGCAAACCCCATCTCTGCTCAACCATGTAAAGCGCCGCATGTCCACACCTGTGGATCCCTCGCGCGAGAAGGAGTATGCCTTCGAGATGGCGGCATCTAGCATTCGCTTCGGACCCGGCGCGACCAAGGAGGTCGGAATGGACTTTACCAACCTCGGCGCAAAGCGCGTGTGCATTGTCACCGATTCCAATGTGGCCAAGCTTAATGCCATGAAGCAGGCCGTTGAGGGTCTTACCCGTGAAGGCATTGAGTTTACTATCTTTGACAAAGTTCGCACCGAGCCCAAGGATAGCTCGTAAGTCAACCTCGAGCTTGATGCGTGGCTGTTGTATAGACACTAACATGTTTCCGAATTAAGTATAAAAGAGGCTATCGCTTTCGCTAAGCCCTATAAACCCGATGCCTTCCTAGCCGTCGGTACATCTCCCTGAACCCCTACCCCTAGGGTATACACAAACTAACACCAAAACAGGTGGCGGTTCCGTAATCGACACGGCTAAACTGATGAACCTATATACCGTCTTTCCCGAAGCAGACTTCCTTGACTTCGTCAACGCACCCTTGGGCAAAGGCCTCCCAGTAGACAGACCCCTTCTCCCCCTCGTCGCCGTCCCGACAACAGCCGGCACAGGCTCAGAGACAACAGGCACCGCAATCTTCGACCTAGTCTCCAAAAAGGCTAAAACAGGTATCGCCCACCGAAATCTGAAGCCAACCCTCGGAATCTGTGACCCACTCAACACCCGCACCATGCCCTCAGCCGTGCACGCCGCCTCTGGCCTCGACGTCCTCTGCCACTCCCTTGAATCCTGGACCGCAATCCCATACAACGAGCGCACCCCGCGCCCAACAAACCCCATCAACCGGCCCGCCTATCAGGGCGCAAACCCTATCTCCGACATCTTCTCCCTCGCCGCCCTGCGCGCAACAGTCAAGTACCTGCCGCGCGCAGTCCGCGATCCAAATGACCATGAAGCACAATCGGAGATGTTGCTCGCGGCTACTCTCGCAGGCGTCGGCTTCGGAAATGCAGGCGTTCACCTCTGCCATGGTATGAGTTACCCGATTTCCAGCCAGAACCCGGGTTATAAGCATGCAGGCTATGAGGTTGATCATCCCATTATCCCGCACGGTGTTTCCGTGGCTGTCACTGCGCCTGCTGTCTTCCGCTTTACCGCGGCGTCGAACCCTGATCGCCATCTAGCGGCGGCTGAGGCGTTTGGTGTGGATATCTCGAATGTTAAGCGGGAGAGTGCGGGCGAGGTGCTTGGGGCTGCCATTGCGGAGTTCCTCGTCACGCTTGGTGATCAGCCGCGTGGGTTGAAGGATCTAGGATTCAAGGCTGCGGATTTGGAGGGGTTGGTTGAGGGGACTATTCCACAGCAGCGGGTGCTTATGCTTGCGCCGAGTTTGAGTAAGGAGTTGGAGGCTGAAAGGGGCGAGTTGAGGAGCTTGTTGGAGCAGTCTTTGGATTATTAGGATGGTACCTTGTATTCAAGTGAGATTAAAATATGATTGCATCTGATATCTCTATACTTATATACGCCGATAAGACCCATCAAATTTGGATATCTGAGTTGTTCATTTGTTCATGTTGGGGAGGGAAGTAGAGGTAGAGTGTAATGTTGTGTGGTAGGGGAAAGTTCATCCTAGACCGGCTAGGAACAGATATCCTTTCGTATTACATTTCATGTCAACGCAATAATCACCATTGACTACGGCAGCTCCACCACTTGAGGTGATGAGCCGACCATCTGTACTGAATCACTCTCGTCACCCAGGAGGACCTTTGTGCCGAGGACACCCATTGACGACGCTATGCGATCCAACCAGATCACAGCACGGGGATCATGTGGATCAGAGGTCTTAGACGGACCCTGTCCAAGCTCGGAATGTATGCGAAAGGGGAGGGTGAAGCTCTTCGATGTCGCAGGATAGGGGGATGTGGAATATTCACTGCCACTGCTGGGTGGCGTGGCAACAGACGAATCTGGCGAATCCGCGATGGAAACAAAGCGCAATCGGTCTCCAAGACGGTCGGAGAGCTGTTGTAGTGTCTCTAGCATATTCTCTGCTCCATTGAGGAGCAGGGATGGACCGGTGTCCGGGAAGATCTCTGGTACGGGACCTATGAATGATCCGGGCCGCTGGACGATACCTTGCTGGCGCTCACTATGCGCACTGATGCATGCCCGGAGCTCTGTAGTGAGCGAGCGCAGCTGACGGGAAGTGTTATGTATGCGCGCGATGAGATTTGTGAAGGTGGTTGAGTCTGGCTCAGTCGGCATTGAAAGCAGATCCCGAGTCTCGCTGATATACCGCGGGCATTTGGCGATTTCCATGAAAGCCAGGTCGGATATTTCTCCGTATGCAGACCACTCCCCTGATTTCTGACAGTCTTCAACCCTGACTTTCGTCGCGTAGGATTGCCATTCTTCTTGGTCTAGGAAGCAGGGTTTGCCCTCATAGACTGCTGTGGCGATGAGGAAGCCGCGGAATGCAATCCAGCACCATCTTCCGAACCCGGTCCCGTGCGCTTCTGGGCCTCGGCTTATCATCAGCCGCTTGGCGCCGTCGGAGTGCACGACCCAGGCGTCGGGCGTGGTCTGCGCGTACATCTCGAAGACACTGAGGATAATGGATGTGCAAAGCATGTTGTCCGACTTGGCATGTTCGGGTTTCGCAATGGACCGGATGACCTCACGCAGCGACTTGGAGTACATTTGCCGACTTGCTTGGAGGAGAGCCTTATCTTGAGTCAAGTGTGCTAAATAGACGGAGCTCAAGCAGCAAACCGCAGAGTCGAGGTAGGCATCGTTGCCGAAATTCATGACAATATATTCGGCGAACCCGGGCGCATCGCCGGACCGGAACCGATTATGATAATAGAGGGTCGGAAACGACGTGCTGATGAAGTCGAGGAATAATTGTGGCTGTGCCGCACGGAACGACTTGCGCACTAGCGACGGCGACACCTTTTCATCCCAGCCGCCCAAGGAGGAGTGTCGTTGTATAAGCGCAATCGCATTGCCGCGCACTACGTCTGCAGCGGTAGCGGAGTCACCGTGAATGGGGGGCGATCGGTCCGTTCGGGTTGAAGATGTAGCCGACGCGGTTGAGCCTGCCGATGTGGTTGAGCCTGCCGATGCGCCTCTCCCCTTTCGTCGCGTGCTGGAGCGATGTCGCCGAGCGAGGTTGGGGCCTTCGTCTTGAAAGCGGAAGGTTCGTTTGTAGCCCGGACAGGCGCGGCCATATTTCTGACACGGGTTGCACTCCGGGACTGCCTCGTCGCACTGGAGATCCTTATTAGCCCTTGAGCTCGATCTTACCGTGAGAATTGAAATTTACCTTGATCCGTCGCTCGCGACATAGAGCACAGCCTGTACTGTGCGGAACTCCCACCATGGTGTCAAGACCGATAAGCTGTCATCACGGGGTAGATGAAAGGCTAATGAATTTATGTGCCCATTTTTCGGGCTCAGGTTTCATGAAGCTGTCTAGAGCCAATTAGAGCCAAGTAAAGTTGATTTGAGATGAAAAATTGAGAGGCTGTCCTAGGAAAATCCAGGTTGTTACATGTCGAGAACCCTTTGCCAAGCAAAACGTCCAATTGGGCGGGGAAAACAAGCCGTCTCACGTTCGGATCCGAATTTATATTCATCTTCACTCACATAGTCAATCGCCCTTCAAATCATGTCATCCAAGTCCTTTGTAGCTTACTCTCTTATCCCCTTTGAAATTGTGAACTAGGGAGTCTTATAGTCTCATCTTGGGTGGCAGGGTATTCCCAACATTCTGCCCCTATTTATAAATTGCCAGCATTATCCCTGCAGGTCGAATACAACAGGGAAGCATCTCCCACTCATTATGCATGCCCAACTAGTCGGGAAAGCCTTCGTCAGTACGAAACAGTTTCGCAATACTAAGGGCGTTTGCTGTTTTACTCAACGGGTCGTGGATCTACAACATAAAATACCAGGGATGACAACAGGCCTACGAGCACTTCTACAGACGACTACAACATAAGTATGCCACCGATTCATAACTCTCTCATTGGTTAATATTGCCAGGCAGTAATTCAGATCCACCCTCACTTTCTAACCTTAGAAGTACTTTTGTAAAGTTAAAGTGGCCCTTATTACAAAGTACCTCGGTATATATATAACTATACAGTGACTGTTCATAAGTTTTAACACCCCGGCCCCACACCATCTTGATTATATAATATTCTGCCGGTCAAAATATTTTCTGCGATATCGTTGTACAAGAAGATCTCTGGCTTTAAATTATTATCTACACAAGACTAGGCATCATATTAGGAAAATATATCAAAATATCTAGGAATGTGACTTGAACTCGAAAGATATGAGGTCTACCAGTTCATCTTACATAGGCGGTATAGACGATAAAGGCAGGCGGTATATGGGTGGGGCTAAAGGGGGTATTAAAACTTATGAACAGTCACTGTACCTGGGTCACTGTACACCTGGGTCACTGTACATAACATATTTCCTCTCCCGGTGGGGCATTCCTATCTTAGCTGCCGCCGCTTTTACGAGGGCGCTTAGAGTCAGGCTCACTGAGTAAATTTCAGTCCGGGCTCAGACTCAGTGAGCTGCTCAAATTCATCACGTGATAAAGCCGTGAGGTCCAATGAGCGCTCCCTGATTACTCAGACTGATCAGAGGCGTGGCACTCTGAATGCTGTTCAGAGTCACGCTAACTCTCCGCTAAACTAATTTCCGAATATGGCTAATACCTCCTGTTTTATCAGGATGCGCCCCAAAGCTGTAGTCCGAGTACACTTCCATATACGAGGTTAGAGGAAGTCTCTCTGCTTTAGCCCTGTCCACCTTTCAGTAGTCTACAGAAGTCAACATGTAGTGGTTCTTGGATCATCTTGCTCCTGTAGAGTTCCCCCGCACGACCCATGTGCATTCGGAAGCGTAACCACAGTTCCCAGAGAACTATAGGGCCCCGTGAACGTACGGGTGTGGCTCCAGGATCCAAGGTAGAGAGCCCAGGAACGAACTGTCTCACTCCCAGGGGGACAGGTACAGTTCCTAGAGGACCCCAGAGGCCGTGAGTATGATTCTAGGAGCAATGATTGAATATAGCTGGGTTTAGACCAGAATAAGACAGGCAAACGCAATTAAGTGTGGCGGCGTTGACGAATTGAGAGGCCGCCCATTTTGGATGGCGCTCGAGGCCGATTCAACATGTTTGAGCTCTCGTCATAGTAGAGTGAGGAAATGGATGCTCTTCAAGAAACAGGTTCTCAGATCATTCCTGTGAAAACTTTCAGTATTGACCAAGAGCCTGAAAATCCTCGGAATTTACGTATCTTTCCAGTACAATATATCACCAATCATTGTGGCTTGTCACTTCCATGCTTTTCGAGCTATGCTCTATCAAAGTATTTTCAACAGAATGACCGTCTATTCGAAACGAATATCACAGATGTAAAATGAATACAAGACCCATGGCCATTAGTGGCTATCAATATTGAGATCAGTATCAAGGTGAAGTGTTTTGGCATTCCCTTGGATATTGCCTTTGGTTGCCCAAAGAATTTCAGAAACTGTCTTTAAGTAGGAAGGCAATAGGTACTTCTACCAAGGTATGATATGACATAAACGTCGCATTCTTTTACTATCTGAGGTGGAATGATAGAACTTCATGTCTGTCATTGTTCTTGCTGAAGTTAAGAAAAGTGACCAACATTAAAAACAATCAGATCCCCGTTCTGTCACCTTCCTTGATCAATTACCTCCTAGTAGACACTATCTACAAAGGTCCAACAATAAAAGATCGTGTTATCTGGGTCATTGACCTCATCGGAGAGATCAATCCCGTCGTCGCTGTGCTGGAAGCACATATACCGCCCCTCACGCTGCAGGACACAGTGTCCAGAGCCGTCGGGCCGCGAGTAGCACACGAGCGTGCCCTGGTAAAAGATATCGGTGGGCTCGACGTCCTTCATGTAGCATCGGGCCATGGTACAGGTCTGTCGGATGAAGTGCGCGATCTCTCCCACGCTGGCCCCTCCGGGAGGTGCCGCGGCGCTCACCATGCTAGACCATTCCGGCACAGGGTGATTAAAGAAGCGGGAGACGGAAACCCAGACGCAGTTGTCGGGTTTTCCTTCAGGATTCCATTTGGATCCGTAGCCCTCGTTGTAGAGGGTGTTGTCTTCGCCGAAACGGTGGAGGGTTGCGGCCACCTGGTCGACTTCTTGGGCCATGGCAGAATGTTTTCTGGTGAAGGGTTGATAGTGTTGTGACGGAGATACTGAATAGCTGGAGCTCTGACAAGATATTGAGTAGAAATGAGATATCTCTTTGACACAGAAGCGGTGTTTGCAGTTGATGATCAACATGACCTTTGTTTCCCGGGAGGGAGCACCTCTTTAAATCTGTTTTCCGGTCGCCCGTCCAGGCATAGCGACAGAAGGATCAGAGCATCGTCAGGCGATAGGTGTCTTGAATCTAGACTGCTCCGTGTGATTACTGGACATGATAACCGGGTATTTTCTAAGATTTGGACGGCATGACTTCCATGAGAAGTGGTGAAATTAAGCGATACACTTCAGAGGCCTTATCATCTGATATCGGCCAGACTCCGTTGTTCAGCAGCGCCTCGCTTGTAAACATTCTGATGTCTAGCTGACCTCAATTAGATCGAGATCTGGGGTACCTTACAGGCTGCAAAGTACAGGACTGGGCCCATTCTCGGCCTGGCCTGCCAGTGGAGCGGGAGCTCCCATGTGGAGTGGGGCTTGCTGAAAAATGGCGAAGCTGAAGACGCAGTAACAGCAACTCCTACCGGCCCGAACCCATGACGAGCTTTATTTAGCGAGCGCATTCGAACACACTATAGTTCTCGGAAAGGCAGGACCCACTGTATGGTGCATGCCGACAAAGTTTAAAATAGGGTGTTCAATAATTAACCAACCTTCTCAGAGCAATGTAGTGGGGGGTCTGTTGTTGTGATATTGTGATGATCGGAATACCAATTGCCAATGCCCATGTGCTGACGTACACTTGTGTACTGTATTGCACTTTGAGAAGCAGCTACATATGTATTCTTTTTCTTTTTCTCTCCGTTTCTTTTTGTTTTTGACTGTCGTCTCTAGTAAATATAATGTCATGATTTCAATGGTTTGTAACAATATACCTGAAAGCTGGTTTTGATATGGACTTAGGGGATTGGACATAAGATATATTTCAATACAGACTGCTACAAGCCTGGAAATACAGCATGCTATATCGCAGAATTCATCTAGCTAGCCTCCCTTCACCAGCTCATCAATCGGCTTCACGCGCAAGCTGACAGAACCACAATGAACTTAAATTTCCTCTTTATGATCAGCTTCGGATGCTTGCACGTTGCCAGCAATTTCAAAAACCGGGTGCCTCGCCAGATCACGAGTTGGAGTGCGCTTGAAATTAGTCATCTCATTCAGATCCTTCTTGACTTCACCATCGGCATCAAATGGTTCCCTAAATTGTCATATTAACATCTCGAGAGGATCAAAAGCTTTGGGGGTCACTCACTCAACATATTCCAGATTACAGACCAGGTCGCCGTTGTGGCCCATTAGCGGGTTGCTGAAGAGGTAAACGCCGGTAGACTGTGCACAATGAGTCAACTTTCCGTGAAGCTGAGAGGGCTGGGAGGGAAGTGCGAGTAGGAAAAAGTCATGTCGATGGTCACTTACAGGCAGAATAAGGCGATCCTGACCTTGAAGACAGTTTTTCAAACCCTCAGTAATGTATTCGAAGTTCTTCTGGACAGTTTCGTAGGAAGTCTGAAGTTTCTGTCTAAAGGGCTCCAGGCCCCACTTGCCATTGGCCTGCCATGGGAATTCAACGCGCGGCAGCTCAGACTTGACCTCGATGAAGAGGCCTCCGTCGCGACTTGCTTGAAGAACAAAGTTTATCTCCCAGTGAACGACATTGAGGAATCTAATGGGATATTAGCAAATAAGATACAGAACAGAGAGCAATACGAGGAAAGGGCTACTTACCCTCCAATGCGATTCCACTCGATCTTACTGGGATCAACCTTGTAGGTGAATCTGTTCCAGGACATACCATGCATCCGGATGACGTTGGAGCCTGGGGTGACTACCACGCGATTGATTGTGATAGCTTGCCTGGGGTTAGTAGTGTACATTTTCCCACAAAATGCTCGCAGTGAAAACTTACTAGAACCATACGCCCAGGTCTCGACGGATCCGTTGTGGTGGTATGCTCCGGATGTGTCCCACTCTTCATCCACGTTCGACCAGATGAGTTGGCCTTCTTCCTGGTCTCTGAACTTGTTATACCAGTGCTGATCATCCCAATATGGCTTGATGACGGGGTTTCCAGGCGTCCAGTCAAATTTGGCCGAGTTGCCTACCCGATCCTCAAATCCTTTGCCCAGGTGCACCTTGTAACCAACCTTGGCGTACCAGTGGAAGAATTGGGCATCCGACTCAGCCTGCCGCTCCATGATGTCTAGCTGCATGATGCGATTGAATTCGGTGAGCTTAGGGAGCAGGTGTCCCTCCAGGAAGCATTTCTTGGAAAGCACGTAGGTACCAAATTTGCTTTTGTTGTTGGTACTATGGTAGTCCCCACCTTCGGTCCAGTTTCCCCCGCTGGGGGAGAGAGTGGCACCCTCCTGGGTGACGGGTGGAGGGATATTGGATCCCACGGTTTCCAGGTACAAAAGGTAGTGATTATTGCCCTGGGGAATGCCATGAAGAACGTCGGTGTTACCTTCTCGGTATGGATAGGTCTGGTGGCGAACATCATTGATCTCGAATGTCGGCGTCAGAGAGTCTATAAGAAGACGGAGAGTTGGTTAGCAGCGTCGAGGGTGCTTGTTGTTGAGAGCAGATTTCAATCGCATACCATCCTCTTTGTCTTTGACAATCGTGCACAGTCTTCCGAGGCCTTTCTCCCATGTGTCCTTGAATCCTTGTTCGATCATTTGCCGGAAATAAAACTGGAAGGTTGGGGTTTCCTGTTCCCACAAGCGGTGGTTGCCAACAACCTTGTGCTCAATGGTGCGGGCAAACCCATCTTCATCCACCATCTCATCTGTCTCGGCCCAGTAGCCCAGGTCCACTGTGGCAGTCGCCCAGTTGATGGTAGATGTATCAACCAGAAGCTTCTGTAAGGAGTGGTTACCCTTCTTCTTCAACTTCATCGCTTCTGCAAATTCCTTCGAGGTTGGTTCCATCGGAACGAGAGCTGCAGGCAAAGGATCAGTCAGTAAGTTATTGAACGATGAGACAGGAAAGGGGATCGGAGTTGGTCTTACAAAGCTTGATTGGAATGGTCACGTACCAATCCTTGATGGTATATCGCGAATACAGCCGTGACGCCTTCTTGATGGGAGCGCGAGTGCCCGGCTTACGCTTGACGGGCTCAGGTGCGCTGGACTCGGCATTCTCATCGCAGATGGCCTGTAGCTCTCCACTAGCAAGATGGAACTTATACTCGATGGAACTGAGATCGCTTCCGGTGGGCTTAAGAATGAGCTGGGGAGGACCAAAAACGACTTCATCGAGGAATGAGTTGGGCGTGGGGCTGCAGGAGAACCCCAGGGGCTTCTCTAGTTCAGGAAGCTCCTCTCCTTTCTCCAGAATTGTCTGGCGAGATCTCGCAAGAGCCAAGTCTTCGGCGAAAACGGATTTGCTCCAGAGATTCTTCAGGCCCTCATTGATCATGACCTGAGACCTATACCATTGACGCGAGTGGTTAGCTCACTTTTGTCCGCTGTTTTTGTTCTTGGAACATGATCGGTTGACTTACAATGCAATGACCTGGTCATAGGCACCAATCTGTATTGTGAATTAGTTCACCTAGAACAATGATGGGTTCGGGGTTTTGATCATACGCTAGTCTTGAAAATACGATCTTCTTTTGACATTCTGTCTAGGTGAGGGGAAGGGTGATGAAGGTATGCTTGGAGGGATTGAAGTTTGGTGAATCTTGGTAAATCACAATCTGATAGTAGTTTCTGAACTCACGAGATGCACGTTGTTACACTGAGATAGAGATGCAGAAACTAGAGCCAATTTATAGATGAACTTGATCCAGCACAGGCTGTGCTTCGCCTACTTTAACCATAAGATAAGAATGGCACATTATCGGTTTCCATTTCCTAAACAATTTGCGATCAAGCCGTAGTATGAGACACTAGGTCTAGAATGATACTCAATCTAGTCAAATCGACGTCGCGAACAAAGAGACATCAGCTGAAGTCCGAAGTTTTTCCTCATTACCCGACATGTTTTTCAAATACCGTGAGCCTTTGTACGCTCTGGTGCAGCTGAAATAGCGTTCTGATATCCACTTTCCGTACAGCCACTAAGTGACCAGGGGTAGCAAGGCGCATGCAAATGCATGGCTGGCTGACTATGAACTTTTAGTGGAGTAAATTATAGGCGAACCGTCGTCAGCTCTGCTAGACAAAGAACTTGCGGGGTTTGTAGATAGCTAACATTGATGATATCCACTTCCAAACTTTACTTCCAGCTAGGGTCGTCAACAATGGCAACCTTGGAAAGTGGATATAGTATGTTCACGGGAATTTCATGCCGAGCTGCGGACAAGGAGAGATATAATAGCCGAGACCGTAAGCTGTTTGTCTAGAGCTCATCCGACAGCCCGAAGCTCTGTATGTTTTAAACAATCTATCTTACAATTTTTCCATTGTTGAAGAGGGGTACAAGTGTAGATAACTATTGAGAAGGTGGCGAGTATAATATCTCTTTCAAGAAAATCTCCGCGATAGCCACGTACCGTTGTATATAAATTTCTATTTTATTTTTGTGAAAGAACTCCCAAAGCCACATGTTAGCTGTACTGGGACGTAGATTGTTGAACACACCTGGCCCGGAGTTGAAAAAGTGAAACTATGAAGCATACGTGATCTGAAGGGATTCTAGCAAGACAAAATACTATAATCTTCATTCAAAACACACAAAAAGCACTCATACAACAGGTTGCAAAATCTGAAGCGTATTCTAGCCCCAGATAGGACCAATTCTCTCCAAAGAGTGACCCTCTCGGCCCCAGAAACCCTTCAATCCTTTGAAGCCTTCAGGTACAGAAAAAGTTATCAGTGCCGCAGCATTCGAAGGGCGAGTACCACAAGCATATTTGCGGCCATTGCTCAACTCCACTGCAACATATGTCAACCGCTCGGTAAAGCGAATCTCAACAATTTTCGCATTTGCCGGAAGGGTTTCTCGAACATTCGCAACACCTCCTGCACTGAAGGGTGAATGCTCGGCTGCGTGAGACGAGGTGAATTTGGGGTAGACCAATTTGATACGATGGACGACATTTTCACTGGTTGCATCCATCTCGAGTCGGGTGGGCCATTCATCGGCTCCTACCGCATTAAGCAGATCAGGGGCATCGTTGAAGAAACTGCCACCGTAGAGATTTCCCACAGGCCGACCGAAGTAGAATGCTTTGTATAATTCCGCATTCTTGGCACTGGTCACGAAGTCGACCTCATTTTGGTTGAGGTGAGATAGGATTGCTGGGTCACAGAGGGTAACGGAGGCTGACTCAAATGACGGAGGAGGAGCGTGCTGAGATAAACCTGTCTCAATGGGCTGCTCGACGGATTTCTCAGCTGGCTTGACAGCTGGAGTTCCCGTAACAGAAGATGTTCCTCGTTCCTTGAGGTCCTGGTAATGATCCACAAGCGGATGATTCTCTGGCTCGCCGTTGTCTCCTAGAATGGATGGAAGTCCCCGTAGATAATCTACTTCGTTATCAATGGAGCTCAGAGTTTCCATTTCATGCTTTTTCAGCACCTAGAATGAAGTTATCAGCAATCACTTGAGATCAGAATTTTTCAAGCAGATTGATCTTACAGGCAGTCGAGCGCGCCAGATCTCCGGCGCTGTCACTCTCGGCTTGAGTTCCATCATTTTGACTTGCTCAGGAGCAGCATCACTAGATCTTCAATCAGCAGATACCTTATTATAGCCAAGAAATGCCCTCCTACAGGTCTTCTATCTCCTTCACAATGCAATCCATCTCCAGCTTGAGCCGTGACCGTTCAAACACCAGAGATTTAATCGTCACGGGAATTGCATTCTCCCCAGTGGCAGCAATATATTTCTCCGGGTTCGAAAGCGCGTTGTTCAGGCGAGCCAAATTGGATTTGTACTCAAGATGAGTATCAAGAAGGTCAGCAACATGTCTTTGTATGTTGTCATATTTTCGGATCTTGATCTTAGGGATCCTGGCCCATTCAATGAAACTATCCAGCGCGTCATATCGCGTCAATATAGCCCAGGTCTTATGAGGACACTGAGCCACGCGATGCGAGAAACTGCTTGCGACACGAATGAGGGTATCAAAATCCCATTCATCCTGCTCTAGAATGTGCAAAGAAATTTAGATTTGTCCCATTATGCATTTTACAGCGGTGAATACATACCGGGCTTGATGAATCCGCCGCCAGACCAGTTTACAGTGATATTGGTCTCTGTCTCACTCATGTAGGAACTGATTTTGCTGGTATCCCCCAGCGACCATCCCGGGGCTGACGAAGTCGTGTTGAGATGGGATTTCAGCCTTTGATATGTTAGAGTGGCTTTATTTATAGCTTGGAGCGTATTTCACTGATACTATGGACTTACTCCGCAATGACAGCATTTCGACGTGAAGAATCTAGAACTCGGATGGAAACGATGCCATGAAGCTCCCCCCCCTCGAGAAAGCCGGAGATGAAGCAGTCGCCATAGATTTCGTGGAATTCGGCTTCGGTAAGCTCGCCAATCTTCGCGTTGGGCATGCTGCGTGCATGTTATTCATCAAATTCTTGCTGGATTTCGACAATATGAAACACTTACAAGGTAGCACTCCCACGGTGACGTTGTATCTCTATGGTCCTTGTCATCAGCTGCTACACAGGGTTGATAAAACGAGCTAGGGTTCCGGATCACTACTCACGATTAATCACCTGCGCGATTAGAACATAATGTTAGTCAAGATTCGCAACAGCCGTGGATAGAGGTGATATTCCATACCTTGACGGAAACTACCACATTCAGATCACTTTCTGCGAATTTGACCTCATCGATCGTGAAGGCTCCCGAGTTGTCGATTGATCCGCTCTTGATCGATGATCCAGCAGAGACACCCATCAAGCGAACAACCTCAGAGATCCGGTCCACGCATCTAGTTGAGTAGGAGACCGTCTGGGACTGATTCTCGGGACGAGTACCCTGTGAGCCAGGAGCCTGCTGAATGGTAACAGAGTCCTCCAAGCATGGTGTTTGCAGGAAGGAATTGTAACCTTGGCCAAGGCGCATGGAGTCATTGTATGGAGAAAGAATAAGAGCAGGCATAGTAAGGGCAGTTTGAAATCACTTCTTCGACTAGCGGTATAGGTTGGTGCTTTCAAGCAGAGATCAAGACGAGAAGAAATAGTGAATCTTCAAGAGGAAACTGGCTTACTCTGGGCGGGATCTCTTGGGTATCCTTTACATTTTTCTTGTATCTCTCTATCCCAAATCCTAGCTGCAATGAATTTTTTGGTCGCTAACTATTTCCTTAGACTGGCGATAGTCTCGACCTTTCCGAGTGCCTATGGCTGTTTTTCTTTAGCTGAATGGTAATGGATAGAAGGTTACGCGTAAATATACCCCCAAAGCCGCAAAAAGTGGATTGCCAATGGCCGTGTCTAACAGACAGGGGAACACCGATTTGCTAAAAGTTGAGAAATGCGGTGCTACAAGCCGAGGAAAGCGAAGAAGCTCCACATCTGCTGACTGCATAATAGCGAGTGGGGCTACTCGCATGAACGGGGAACCTTGGAAGGATCCACTGCGGGTCACGTTTTCTACAGTACGGAGTAGTTCATCGTGAGATATTCTCTTCCCGCTAGCCTCCTGTTGACCCCATGAGCATGTTCCATCGGCATAAATTCCTGTTATCTTGGGAAAGTATATTTTAGACAAGTGAGCAGGGGTTCAGCTGGCCACTCATTGAGACGAAGGCCTCCCGATACTTGCAAGATCGAAGTCGGCGTCTCCGGCCACCAAGACCTAGATAGAGGTGACCAAGCCACAGTAATTTTGGCCGATTGACAGATAGGGAGAACTACAAACTCAAACACCCGAAGAAAAAGAACCTCCCATCTCTGTCGTCAGTTGAAATAAATTGATCTCAACTTACCCATCCTTCATCTACCACTTACTGTTCATACGCCCCTGAGTCCCCAAACCCATTGAACTCTTTTTTGCATATAACTCTATTTCTCAACAGATTGAATCATGGAATCAGAAGAGCACCTACAAGATGCGAAGGACAACGTGGACACAGTCCCGGAAGTGCAAGATGACCGTGGCTCTTCAGACAAAGACGAGCTTGATCTGGCTGATCTACCAACTCGCGGCAGAGCCAAGCCCATCTATAAGTCTCCAGAAGAGTTTTGGGAGACTGTCAAAGTTCACAAATATATTGAGACAGGAACACCACATGCGCTGCAAGTTGTTCGTGCACCGGGGTAAGTACATAACCAATGTTTTCTTTTGTAGTCGCAACTATCAAGTACTGAACCTTTTGACTTGGCAGACGTTCGCTGCAAGAATTCTTAGTGGGCTACAATGTAGCTAAAATAAAGCAGATGCTCAAGGCTGAAATGTAAGTCACCACGCATTCACATTCCAAACTCCTAGTTCTATGATGCGCCATAGAGATCGCTAATCCGGGATGTTATGTTCTATAGCCCTTTCAAATTCATCATTTGTCTAAATGACGGTTCCGTTGTTCCGGAAACCATGAGTATGAAGCTATATTTCCAGTCACTCGAGCCTCTCCCGCCGAAGAAAGAGGCGCAGCCACCGGCCACCGGGGAGAAGAAACTGACGGAACCAGCAAGCAAGCCAGCTGATGGCGGCGCCAATAAAGAGAAAAAAGCTGGCGATAGTGCGGAGAAAGAGCAAACTAAGCCTGCCGATCCTAAAGCCCACAATACCAAGGCAAGAGAACTAACCCGAGACGGCACATCTCGTGTCAATTTTGTTCTGATCCGATCTGATGGCGTAATATGCAGGCCCCGATCGGTATCGTCTACGTGAAAGAGCTACCTGCGACACTATCCCCAACGGATATCTTCAAAAATCTGCCGTTCACCCTCCGATTTGTACAAAAAGCGAATGGAAAGAATAAATACGAGGCGTCAATCAGCTCGTCAAGATTTCCAAGCGATCAGTTGCCATCCCTCATTTTGGGTCACCTGCGTCCACTCGTTGCTTCCATGTAGGACATCAGTTGTGTTCTCATCAAGAGTGAAGACCAATCACTGATTTCACACGCTATCACAGGTCGGCACAGTCTCAGAAACATGAGTTTTGTTTGCAGGATGAGACACCGTTTGAGGACCGTACTCTCCTATCCACCTATCTTTCTCATTCGGTACGATACGTATACTGTCCGAGACGACTCTCGAATGCCGGTTGTAGCTTCCAAAACACTAACCCACCTGCCTTTGCGCCCTATAGACACTGTCGGATAAGAAAGATGGGAAAATTCCTATTTACGATATTTACTTCAGCTCGCCTACTCAGAGATCCGAGTGGTCGGCAGCTTCTGATGTTGTAAAGCCCCAGAAAATCGACACGAAGGTTGATCTTAGCACGGTTAGTTTGAAAGAACTCGAAGGTTGAGGAGCACCATGACTAACTTGTACAAATTAACAGGGCTTTACCAAGCTCTCATCATTGGAAACCATTCAGGGTAAAGCCGGTGATCTCAAAAACCAGGGTCTCGCAGCAAATGAGTTAAACGATCTTGTCAAGATAACCGCGACGTCGGCAAATACACTGTAAGCTCGTTGTCTACTGAAAGAACAAATGTGCGATGAAACTGATAAGATTCTCATTGTAGACATGCGTCTGAGTTAGACGAGAACCAATGGCACTCGGTCCTCCGAAATTGCGGTTTGATGCATGGCTGGACGGTCGACCTGGAAAGGAACATCGTCAAACCCGCTCCTCGTGCTGGTGGGTTTCTTTCCTTTTCCTTCTTTGCCTTTTGACACCACTCTGCTGTAATTTAAGATACAACGGTGGACCTGACCTCTGGAAACTCATAGCGTTTAAACTCCGTGCCGGACTCAACATGGACAGTCCTATCTCTCTCCCGCATCTAACCACAGGGTCAACGACTACCCCGGTAGCCCCAAAGGCCCCCGCAGCTGTGTTACCCCCGACTTCTACCCCCGGCAACACCAAGGCGGCAAGTGCAGCCATCAAAACAGGCTCGACGACGAAGCCCACTGAGGAACAACCATCCGCAGCGCCGAATAAGGAGGTTGCCCAAGCGTCGACTAAAAAAGAGCTGACGCAGGATGCGAGCCTTCTCCCTCTCGCGATTCCAGTTGAGGCTTCCCCTCAGGTGGTCTCAGCAAAGGCAATGACCAGCGACCTTCCCAAGAAAGCGAATGCTCTGCCTTCCTTTGTGGTGAACGATGAGTCCAAGATTACCGTTTCTCTTGTTAGTCATGAGCTTCAAGAGTCAATGGCGCGCAACAGCTTCTCATCTACCTCTTTTGAGGGTGAAGTGTAAGTCTCTCCATGGAAAAGTAGTTCTCAGGTCCGCGGCCTCTTGCTCATACCTTCAATAGATCGGGTGGTTTCAAGGGTGTCAGTGTCGGCGTCACCGCCGGAACTAAGTCAAGCACGACAAAGGGGGAGGCCAAATCCGAAACGATTTATGAGAAGAAGTTGATTGCCGAGTTTAAGTTCCCTCGGGCGACGATATTCCTGCGTCCCGAAGACCTTGAGCCGACTGACGCCCTACGCAGCGCGGTGGACAAGGTGCGCAGGACCAAAAACATCAATGACCTCCGGGCACTACAGGCCGAGTTCGGCCATATCTTCTGCCAGGAGGTCATAGTCGGAGGCAGTCTGCAGACCACTAGGGTCACCAACAGCAAGAGCACTGTCAGTGAGTCGCGGCAGAAGGAAGAGTTTAAAGCTCATTTCGGTCTTGCCGTGTCCACTCCCTGGGGCATTGGTGGCTCATCCAAGGCCTCCAAGCAGACCGGCTCGGAAGATGAAGAGGCCATAAAAGAGACCAACGTCAATGATATGTCCGCCTTCGAGGCGAAGGGAGGGCAAACCATCTATGCGGCTAATCCGCCGACGTGGTGTGCATCAGTTCTGCCGTTCAATAACTGGCGAGTGATCGAAAGATCTGAGCCATTGCTGCTAGCGACAGCTATTAGTAGCTGCAGCGATGTCAAGATGGTGGATGTCAAGCAGTGGTTCCTCTCCGCTGTTCCTCAACTATCTCAATACTTGGCGATTCCTCCATCCCGTTGCCTTGATGTGCGATTGAAAGTACAGTCCGACATTCCAGGATTGACCCAGGAGATTGGGGACAAGGAGACCCCCATAGAAAAGCAGCATCACATCTGCAATTATTTAGGTCATCAGTTTGGCAAGGCCATCCACCCAATTCGCATGGGACTTAAACGGAGACAGTTGAAGGTCACCGAGATCAAACGGTCGGGCGGTACATCCTTTGGAATGCCGGTCACAGATATTACCAGGGATTTCAAGCAGGTTCGTCACTGTCGATCCCATCGGGACTTTTCTTTCGTCATCTAATGCAAAAAGTAGCTCGATGTACAAAAACAATTGGCCCTGTTCTCCCCAGCAAGGTGAGCTTCTCTAGTGCAGAATCGTCCAAGAAAGACAGTGCTGAGATCAGGATCTAGATTCCAAGCCCCGGTTCTCCTTCAATACGAAGAGAGGCTGAAAAGTGAGATCCCTGCTCCAACAAGTAACAAAATCCGAGAGCTGACAAGGCCGAAGAAATTGAACACCTATCGGTCACGGACTACCAGGAGACCGCCTGGCAGATGATTATACCCGATGGCCAACATGTAGGCTTCCCCAGCCTTCCTACCAGTCCAGATAGCTAATACTTGCAAATGACAGCTCAAACACGATAGTTTAGTCGCCCTTCGAAGCTATCACGAGAAGATGAATATTTACCTTACTGTTTTCCGCAACGAGCAGGGTGTTGTCTTACCAGCGATGACCGATTCCGGGGAGTTCCCTTTGTGGCGGGTGCAGACGGTCGGGGGATCGAGCGCCCAGTATATCAAGGAAGGGGATCCTATTCGACTGTGCTGGCGGTTTTCTGATCAGACATGCGGCTTCCGTGACTTTTTCAACGACGTCTACGGCCGGCGTCGCTTCACCAAACCCGAAGAAATCCACGATAGCCTCTATCTGCGGACTCCGTTCCCAGGCTTTCAGCGAGCGGACTCCATAGTTCCTGTCCAAGTGCAAGTCAAGGACCCTGTAAACACCGGTGCCATTCCCAACGGGATTCCAGACATGGTGACCCCGGCGCCTTCGCCCGGTAACACACCTGGGTCTACAACGGAGCAGAACGGGGCGGCCATGGTGATGAGCCCTTCCTCGTCTGTCAAGCCTATCTTGACCAAGTTGAGTGTGATCGCCGATAAAGGGGACTACTTGAAGGATAGTCTTACCTATAACCTATTTGACGTGACATTTCGAATCGATATGATCGGTGAGCCATTCTCCATTCATGCCTATTCCATAACCTCGACAGCACTAACCACACCATCTTGAGATACAGGAAACCGTCCCTCGGTTGAAAAGATGGACTATATGACACAGAATCTCGACCAACGCACCAGTACTATAGTCACGACGGAGACCGGTTCTCGATCCATGACTTGGAGCATTGGTGAGGGCCAGCAGGCTGCAGACAACTATGCGGAGGCAGGGAAGCAAGTGCTTGGAGTGCTTGTGTTCGGGGCGCATTACCATTACCTGAGGTAGGCAATAAATCCCAACCCTACACTGACTGATAGCAGAATATAGCTAACCTTACCGACAGAGCGGAGTACCAGCCTTTGTCTCGCATTTTGGCTTCTTGGTAAGGGATATGGATATACATGTGTGGATTCGGCGTATCGCCTCTATTTGTATAATCCAAGCTATCTTGTATTTTCAGTGGTACACACCCTGTCAGTATATCTGTACCCGTCCAGGGTCCACTTGAATGACTGCACAGACAAACCTGTGCTGGAAACATGAAACTCACTTAGTGAGATACTTGCGTATTTTTCAGTACCATTTTCGGTCGTTTGTACGTCTCATGTAATCTGCAAGAACTGTTCATTTGAAAGGCTTAAGTGGGCCCATATCTCAGGAGCATAGTTTTTTGAGCAATTTCTTTAAGACTCTTGTCAGCATTCAATGGATTTATAATAGCAGCATACTCTAGCAACTCTAGAGATACTAATTCACGTGGAAAACCCGTATGACGAAGGACATGGATAAAATCCTGATACCCGCGAGAGGAAGACCTCTCTAATTTCTGGTTGAGGTAATGAGCACCATCGCCTTCGTCAGCAAGATCCCACGGTTACTGGGGTTGAATGGAGCCAATTGCAACGTGATATAATTAGCGATATTGGTAAGTCTATGTTGTGCAAACAGTCAAGTCCAGTCATTGGACATCCTCATCATCGCGTACTCGATACTTCAACAGGCATTCCAAATTGGCGTAGTGCCCTGCCTCTGTCGAATGTATAAGCCAGCTCCACGCCTTCCTGAAGGAGCTCCCACCTTTGAAAAAGTTCATTGGGTAGGGCTTTCCACGGGATACACTGGCAGTGTTGGCGAAAAGTCACTCCAATTCCTTAAATAACGTACGTTTTCGACATGAACTCAGTTCCAATGTTGATACGGGAACAAATTCATGGGAACAACTTTCTTTTCGCGCGAGCCTCCATAACCTCGACCACTTGTTCGAACAGTTCCCAAATATTCATTCCCTTGGCCTCAACGTTGACTGGACACCCGATGAGGAATTGGTTAGTCTCCTAACCATTGCAAAGACTCACCAGACATGCAATTGCTGACATCAATGTAGCCATATCATCTTCTCGCCAACATCGTTCAACAACGTCGTATCCAGCATTTAGAGCTCAACCTACTAGGGCTCTCTTGTCATTATTCAGAGTCACGGCCTTATACCAACGTCAATGAAAGCGTTTGCCAGGCCCTTGTCCAGTCTCTTGCCAAGATTTCATTAACCTGGGCAAGTAATAACCAGTGAGTAAGATCAGGCTGCTCAGTGAGCCCGCGAGTCTGGTGATTATGTAATAATACTCAGCTCAGTTCCACTCAGTGAGTAAAAAGCGGCAAGAGGTGAGCACTAAAGCGGAAAGGGAAAGCCAAGAAGTGGCAGAGGAAATCAAGTACGTAGGTAGAAAAGTCGCTTACATGAAGGATACTTTTTTTACCCCCTTTATATATATCTAAAAAGACATTTAAAAAGACCAGCTAAAAGACATCATATGGCCGCAAACCCGGCCGACTATTCTTGTAGAAAATAAAAGAGAAGTTGAAATTAATTACAAAGTACTCCGTAGTAGTGTATGCTTTAAGAAGGCGGTGAGGTGATATCCAATAGGAGACTTATGAACCGGTGGCATACTTAGTCGCCCGTACTTAGTCGCCTGTACACTTCGCGTAACCACATAACTGGGCGATGTGTTCGGCATCATGAGTTCATACCAGCAATGGGCATTGAGAAACTGTAGTGTGACCTTTCATTCATCAAGAGAATGATGATGCTACCTTGCCAGCTTCCCCGGTACCTTTTCATTAGGGATATGAAGCTTTCCTCCAGGGCTGCGCCCTCTTGGACGACCAATCCGGGGGTAGGCATGTCTCTGGGGTCAATACTGCTGTATTCATTGACCACTAGAAGCTAAAGGAGGCTTTGGAGAGGATTTGAGTCTCTTTTTATGTGATAATTGGTCATCTTCCAGATGGCCACCCGTTTCTAGAACCGGATTAAAAACAAGGCATGTTTGAAAGGGAGACAATGTGGCCCTCAACAAACGAGGATGCCTAGGATAATATGAGGGATGAGGGCGCAAGTATGACGGGAGGGTGGACATGAAGTCCAATTGGGAGTTGAGTACTAGTCCTAGGGGTACCCTGTAGAAGGCTTTTCTCCAATCAGGGCGGCTGTACCCCGCGTTCTGTACAGTTGTACATATTTCCCAAGGTCGTATAGAGGATGTTTGGATAAAATGGAAGAAACCTGAGGGCGCGCCTGCCGCGGGGAGTAATACAATGCTCTAAAACTGGCCGATTTTTCTTTCTTTCTCCCTAATTGACTTAATTGAATTCCAATGGCTCTTTTGAGGGCCTCTCGTCCCAAGGCTCTTGTGCCAGAAAAGCTGTCACCGGATGGACTGGCTCTTCTGCGCGGCTCGCTGGATGTCCATGAACGAAAGGGTCTCAGTGCCGATGAATTACTCCAGATAATCCCCGATCATGATGCCCTCCTCGTTCGCTCCGAGACTAAAGTCACTGCGACTGTGCTGCGAGCTGCAAAGAACCTAAAGGTTGTAGCACGTGCCGGTGTTGGAGTTGACAACGTTGGTAAGTTTCAATCTTGTTAAAGGCTGTGTGTTATTGACCCCGTGTATAGATGTCGCGGAAGCTACAAAGCTAGGGATTGTGGTCGTCAACTCACCTTCAGGGAATATTGGCGCCGCAGCTGAGCATACAATTGCATTGATGATGTCCATGGCGAGAAAAATTCCTGAGAGCTGTGCTAGTCTCAAAGATGGGAAATGGGAACGAAGTAGATTCGTCGGTGTGGAAGTCAAGGGGAAGACATTGTCGATTATTGGTCTGGGAAAAGGTAACTGTTTCTCAATTTGCTTCATTTGGAAACGTGAGTTGACATTGCACTATACTAGTGGGATTGACAGTAGCACGACTGGCCAAGGGTTTGGGCATGAATGTGAATGCCCTCGATCCATATGCATCCCCGGCGGTTGCGGCTTCGGCTTCGGTCGCCCTCATATCCTCGCTCCCAGAGCTGCTGGCATCTGCCGACTTCCTAACGATTCATACACCTCTCATCGCCTCAACTCGGGGAATGATTGCGGAAGCCGAGCTAGCACAGTTGAAGCCAGGTGCCCGGGTATTAAATGTAGCACGGGGAGGAACGTTTGATGAGGATGCACTGCTCGCGGCACTGGAGTCAGGCCATATTGCCAGTGCCGCTATTGATGTTTTCACTTCAGAACCTCCTGCTCCTGATTCATCTGCGGCACGACTAATCGCCCACCCACGAGCAGTCGTTACACCGCACCTTGGTGCCTCCGCAGTAGAGGCACAAGAAAACGTGTCAGTCGATGTGTGCGAACAAGTTCTGGAAATCCTGCAAGGATCGTTGCCGCGCAGCGCTGTCAATGCTCCTCTCATTCTGCCAGAGGAATACGAAAAGTTGAGCCATTTGTACGCCTAGTCGAAAAACTGGGCAGCCTGTATACTCAGCACTATGCAGCTTCTCCAGGCGGAGCAATGGGCAGAAATACCTTTGATCTGATTTATGAAGGCGAGTTGAGCAGCATCAATAACACGAAACCACTCTTTGCCGCTTTGATCAAGGGTCTTCTTGCTCCCATTAGCAGCATGGAGGGACTTAACATCAATATTGTCAACGCTGAGCTGGTGGCTCGCGAACGTGGAATCTATGTTTCGGAGCAACACTCCCGCGACCCATCAGACCACTCGTCCTATTCGTCGCTAGTCACTCTTGTCGCACGTCCACCTTCTCGGGCATCGTCCCGAGCCCCAGCTTCCGGCGACACCTCCACTGGGTCAATTCCAGACCAACACCAGCGAATTATCTCCGGCACCTGCTCTGGTGATCAGCCACTGATCACTCGCCTGGGTCGATTTGAAGCGTCCTTTGAGCCGGAGGGGACCTTATTGATCTGCGAGAACTATGATTCACCGGGGAAGATTGGTGTTGTAGGTAACACCCTTGGCCAGGAGGGCGTCAATATCAATTTCATGACTGTTGCTCCTGTGTCAAACAAGTTGGCTATCAATGAAAGCCCAGAGAAGTCTCACCCCACAGATGAAGGCTCCCAAGAACCATCTGCAAAGGGTCAATCATTGAAGGAAGCCCTGATGATCCTCGGTATTGACAGAGGAGTTCCTGCCCATGTTACTGCTGCTTTGGCTAAGGAAACCGGAATCTTGAGTGCGTGCACTGTCACCCTTTGATTCTATCCATGGATGTGTATGCTTTGATCATTGGTCAGTGTTGCGGGATACTCGGATACTCGGAGGGAATGAGGGATTGCTTTCGGCTATAATTATTCGACGCCTTTCTGTCTTTCAACCATGGCAGATTTTATATAATCATCTCTTTACTGGGTCCAGCCCAGAATCAACGAACTGAACAGATACCAAAGACTGGTTCCTCTACCTAAGTCCAAAATGTGGTCGATGATGAAGATCGACGTCAGGGTTGAGTTGAATCATTAGTTAAATCATTAGTTAGGACCAATGGATTCTTTTCACTCTTCACATCTCTGTGAAGATATTCAAAATGAGTGGAAAAATTTCCCTAGAGACCTTTCCACCGAGACGCCAATGGCCGGAGATGCCTCCCAAAATAGTAACCTTAATGTATACGACTATTTCGACTGACGATGCCATTTGTTTCGCGCTGACTTGTAAATTTACGCTCGCCTTATACCTCACAGTTCTCGAGAAACTTGGAAGGACTATGCCCGTGACACCCCAACCGCCGATGTTCCTAGACATCAAAAGCTTCCCATGGATTCGAATACATCTACTTCGCCGACTCCAAAATTCCCGTTGGAAATTCTGCGAACAATGCTGGATACTTCATCCACGCTCCATTTGGAATATACAACACTTCTGGAGGCTGGACCATAAGAAGTGCTCTTTTGGCTGCGACACACTTGGTAGTCGAAAGTGCTATTTGCCGTACGCCGGTGAAGTTCATATGTATCCCTGTAGCACGCTCACCATCCACCACAAGCTCCAATTGATCTCTCTATGCCGTCAGCAGCCCCTCGATTCCAAAGGTGGTCTTCAACCCCTGACAAATTGCAGCTGCAAATGTGAGATGTTGCTACACACATGTACCTTCGACGAACATCCCATCGCTCAGGTTCAAATCAGCGTCTCGTTCTCTTTGGGCTGTCGAGACCAGAGATTACGCATGCGTACTCGTTTTCTATTCGATTTCACAAAGTCGACCCCTTCGCAGCTGGAAGACTTCTGGAACAAGCGGGGTGATATATGTGTGCGTGAAAACACTGGAGAGTGGGTTGGTAAATTTTTCCGTGAAGCCGTGAATCCTTTCGGCATGAGAATGGATTGGACGCCCTGTGGATGGTTTAGTTGGGATGTGAGCGACGAAGGACCACTGGAGATTACTTTGAACCGCAATCTGGGGAAGCGTGAATGGCCGAGCAAGAGCTGGATTCGGAACTGTAGCAAACCTTCCTAGGATTTGGTGCTTTTCCTTTTTTCATTCAACATGACATATGTCGAATTCACAAATCAGCCCATTTCCTGTATATCAATGAACCTAAGAGATACCACCTAAAAGACTACTAAAAATACTACTAAAAGACCATCTAACAAGACATCACAACAGAACATAAGCTAGTATTCTTGTAAGAGTAAGAATAGCATACCAAGGTAAAGAAAGCCAAGTATCCTTATAAGGAAATTGCAATCTTCTTTACTCTGTTTCTCTCTCTTTTCATTCTTCTCTCACTTCTCTCGACTCGTCCACCATCCATACCTACCAAGGTATGAAGGTATATATATTACCATCCCCGCCTTTCAACTTCTTCTCTCTTCCAATCCTCCCTTCCTCTATACCTCCCAAGGTATTTATACCCCCTTCCCTTACTTCTTCACTCATTCTTTCCTCTTACACATCTCCCTGTGTCTCTTTACTCTCTATACCTTCCATGCTTCCCTTCTATATATATGTTGAGGTATTTATATCCCATTCCTCGGTTCTTCTATCTTCCTATTCCCCCTTCTCATCATCATAAACATTGAATCCATTTTTAGGCGGAGCAAGATATATCATCTCATTTCTTCCTCATCCAGCTTTGACCCTTCTCTCACTTTGTCTTACATTTCTGTTTGAGTCTGACCTCAACCGCGCTTATATCTGAGCTATTGGCTGATTTAAAGCTTGCAACAGGGAGCGGGGAGATGCTCTAGCTCAACCCAAAGAGCAAAGCAGCTCTTTGAGGGGTCAACTTCACACCAAGAAGCCACAGCTAGCCCAGCAGCAAGTGAGGGATGCCTTGGAAAGCACAATGTTGCTTGCTGACCAGAAGCACGAGGAGCGTGTTGATTTGCTGAAGCAGACTTGCTAAAAGGAGCTGATGGCAGCCAAGGCCGACTGAGAGGGAAGATTGCCGATGAGCTACAACACAAGGAAGGAACTGCCAAGCTTGCACAGGAGAACGACCACTCTGTCGTCTCCAGCCAGCCCTTCCTCAGTCTTCTGGCTGTTCCCAGGTCCTCTTCCCCCTCGTTCCTTCCTTGTTGTCCTCATCTACCCCCCACCCCCCTTTTATCTGCCCAATTCCCATCTGCTCAATCTAGTTAGTCATTTCCTCCCCCCGCCGCTCCGCTCATCGAAATAAGAGCGTGGGCCATCAGTTACCCATGATCTCATGAATTCTTTGCGAAACCGTTCATTTGCCGCTCGGCCATTCATGCTGAGTCTGGCCAAGAATTGGCCAATATTCAGACGGCAGACATCAACCAGGCGATTGAAGGAATGAATCAAATCAAACAACTCTGTGGGTGTATTTGTCTGTTAAATTATATTATGTAGGGATAGGTTTTATGCAAAATGTTATATCCTATACTTACATAGGCACAATCATTCTTCTATTCAATGCTTCAAGATGTATTCTATTGCCAGTAGTCAGCCATTCGCCACTCTATGGGCACTCTAAAACAATACACGACGGCTATGTCGCCTGTTTACTAGGTCTGAAATTTGTGGAAGAGGAAATGCCATTTAGATGCACTGGAATGAAAACATAATCGCTGTGTAAGTATAATGAGATGGTCATGAGGGCAAGTTGTATCCACCACGAAATGCAAAGTATGATGCGGGGAAAAGAAAAATAAAAGGAAAACCCCAGGGTATAAATGATCAGAACATAGAACTCCGCTTTTTTTCAAGCTTGGTAGCATTGCTTTCCTCCTTGTTACGCCGGAACCCAAAGAAACTGCTCTTTTTCGGCTGGATTTGAGGCCTCGACGCCGCGGGGAGAGCACCGCTGCTAGTAGGGAGGAACCCAACGGTAGACTGTGGTCGGGGTTGCGGGCGTGCTTGCTGTGGTCGGGACTGCATGAGATGGATGGATGATTGGGCTCGGGGATCCAAGTGCCCCGGTGCATTGAGGTATGGGTTGTTGGCGAAGGTAGGGACCTGTGCGCCTGGGGAATGTTGTTGACGGGGATGATGGGATGGACGGCCTGTAGGTTGGGAAGAAAGTTGGACTGAGGATTGAGAGTGTTGATGGGAGTAAGATTGAGGGGGTCCGGTGTGTCGGGGTGAAAGATAGGGTGTAGAAGATGGAGCCGGGGTATGTCGTTGCTTTCGTGCTTGCTCTTCTTCTTTCCCGTACAACTGCTGCAGGCGTCTGGTCTCTTTCTCGACTTCAGCTTCCCGCCGATGCCGTGCTTTTTGTTCTGCGGCCAACACTTCCTGGCTTCGTCGCTCCTCTTCCTGTCTTGCGAGTTCGTCTTGTCGCCTCCTCTCTTGTGGGGCTGGAGATGAGGAGTTCGGAATGTTGAGCCGAGGCGGTGATGGCCTTCCACTCATTGCTGGCCCAGTAGGTCGGGCCTGTGGGTTCAGCCTGGGATCACTAGTTGGTGTGACTGGCGCCGCAGTTGCAGTTGGCCCTGCTACTGGCTTGCGAGCTTGGTTCGGCCCACCGGGGGTGATATGGAAGGCCTCCTTGGCAGGTCCAAAGAAAATATCTCGAATTGCAACGGCGGCCAACAGTAGCACGACCTCCAACCCCTTGAAATCTTCCATCTCGACGCGGTAGAGATTGGGCTCGTAGAGAGTAAGCTCCTTCAGCCCTTGGAATAGAGCGACCGTAATATCTGGCTCACGGCTCTTTGTGCGCGTGTCCGAAATTGTTGAGGTTTTGCCGTTCAACAAACATGTCAAATCCTTTGACAGTTTCCCATCCTTGCGCCAACTGAATCTCAACTTCGGAGTAATATCTGCGATAGAGGGATCGATCTGAGTCTGGTCGAGCGCTGAAGCGGACGGAACCCGGAATGTGGTTTGCGGCATCTCAAATTCCCACCGAGCTGGTTTGTTCCATGTTTTGGTATGATATTGCACTGTGATCTCTTGGTCGGGATTGTAGAGCTGGATGGTGAACTCGGTAGGAAGGATAGGTTCCGGGGGCGGTGCAACGCCGCCATTTGCTCGTATTGCGTCTGCCGACATACTTGGTTGGGTCCAATCTGGAACCACGGCGACCTCGCCGTAGACAACATCTGTCACATACGGGTCGTACAGCGCCACTCCGTAGCGGTTTTGTGATGTTGGGGAGGTGGGGTCGAGGGCGCGCAAGGAGTAAGCTGGTTCGGGGTCATTACCATGTTGACTATGGTATATTGTGCTGATCTGAGGCTGTTTTGAGTTGTTCTTGAGGAAGAACGCTGTGCTGCGGTCAGTATGATAATCTTGAAGCTGGGAGATGACGTAGCCCGCACTAAGAGACGAGACTGCCTTAATCCTTACAACGTACTGGGTAAATTTTCGTCGATCATCTTGTCATTTGGGTTGTGTACAATTCAGCAAGAGACTACCCAGTGTGGTTATGTGGAGAAGTTATATCTCCAGAGCTCGCCCGGAGTGAAGTCTGCGCCACGGGACTTAGCGATCGGCGCCTAAAAATAGAAGACCTATCCCCGCTGATTCGTACGTCAATTGAAGGCACCAGCATTTAAAGTATTTTGCAAGGCTATCTATGATCAAGCTATACGGGGAAATGTAGGCATCGGCATTCTATGCATGACATCAAATCTAACTGCCTATGACTGGGCTTAGAGATTATTGACTCCATACATACAAAACAGGGGTTGATCCTCATATTCTCCATGGAGTCACTATGATCTAGAACCCTTCTGGAAAGACCCGGACTATAACAGATTTGGTGATATTGATGACGACCTTTGAGAATCAATGTTCTCACAAGTCTACTATGTACTCCGTATTTGTGGCGGTTTTCCATGACAGACCCTTTTGTGGCCATGCAAGGGCTTTCTTTAGGAGGATGTCTATATTGCGAGTTTAATTAGTACTGAGTCTGAATTCAGAGGAAGGAATGTTATACATGGATACTCAATAATAAATTAATTTGACAATGTTCACATTAATTCATCGAGGTGCTGCATCTAAATTTCATATTAGTACAGAGGGTCAAGATAGATTGGAACGACTTAGCTGTGTTTGAACTTAAAACCCCTTGAAGTCATCCATAAGTCATTGGTCAACAAATGGTCACCATAATTGAATTATACGAATACACGGGGAGAGTCATATACTGAGTTAGCTTGCACAATAATTGAGCTAGCAATAGGAAGCATTCCTGAATGCCAATATGGCACAAGTTAGTCACAACGGCGTTTTCAAAGGAATGACTTAGCTGATTGGCAATTATAGTATAGAAGTTTTAGATAGGAATGTGGTAAACCATTCAGCTAGTCAATTAATCAAGCTAGTCCCTGCCTGTGAAATCCAAATTAGTCATAATAGGGGCTTAAGGGAATGACCTAGCTGCTTTAAAAAGAGGATTATGTGCAATATTCTGGAAAAATAAGCAAGTCTGGTATAGATACGTTAGTACTGAATCCAAATCATAGGGGAAGGAGTGTAGTAAATCTAGCTCACTATATGGCTGATCGCTGACCACAGTATATTGTGACCTATCGTCGAGAGGTATCTATAAAATTCTGGTTAGTGAGACGAGGAGGGATGATGACTTACCATCTTAATAGAGGGGCTGGCCATAGATGTGATGATGCTCAAATAGAGAATATCGACGGACCTATGCTTCGTTAGTACTCAATTCATCTTTCCAATGAGGGTAATAAAGAACTTGGCCATTTAGTTATCATTATCTGAACTCTTATTGGGGGATTCTTTTTGTACGGGGCCTGTTTCAATCTCTTAGTGTAGTTCTCCGCATCGAGAATGACCTACCTGATGTGGTATAATATATGGAACGGTATACTCGAATGGCCTCGGACGATGTATGGTGCGGTATATCTAGATCTCGTTAGTAAGGGGGGGTCAAATGGTGAGGATAAGAGTTATAAAAAAGCTTAGCCGTAGGCAGGTAGTAAAGGATGTTCGGATCGGTACTCGTTGTCGTCGTTGAAGCCTATAGTGCCCTAGTTTGTTACCTTGTGTGTTAGCAATGATCATATAGCGGGAAGCTGCCCACCTGCGATATATAGGAAGATATGATAGCGTGGGATGTAGTTAACCCTAGATAGAAATTTTAGTGTCTATCCTGCAAGTTAATGGAAAAGATACTCAGCGGATGGCTCGTAGTCATATATAGTAGGCAGAAGACATGTGCTGAGCTTTGTCTTGAGCTGGAATACTCCTGATGATGGGATCAAAAGCGAGGGGCCCGAAAGCTATTATATAGACAATCATATCCAAGACAAAGGGTAGCCCACCTCAAAGTTGTTCTATACATGTTCTTTGTCGGCATCCTTGTCGATGCTATAGCAGACTGTATTATTGCGTTCCCGAGGCCGAAGAAGGCCATTGTGCACGACCGAAGGTAAAGAAGATTTATATCGAGTAAAGGATTCGACAATGAAAGCCATGGTATAATGCATAGTTGTCAGCTTTGTTCTATTGTCTGCTGAAACAGCCACCGATGGATAAAATAGCAAAGGGGGCTCAAGAACCAAGGGAGATAGGGTAAAGAAATTAACAGACAATGGAATAAAGAGCCTTGCTTGAAGATCCAAGGAATTATTTTTGGTTTATGTCAAATCTATGTATATACTGGTTCTATCTTTGTAACCCGTCGCAATCTGCGACAACCGAAAAGTACAATAGCAATGTCCATCAAATCACACTTTTGTTCATTGCCCGTATTATATCCGGACCCCATTGACCTCCTTACCTCCGGTGACCTTAGCGGCCTCCCGATCAGCGGTGCTCATCTGCAATCCCTGGTCATCCCAGCCTTGGGTGCCCTTCTTATACAGTGTCTTCTGTTCCTCTCTGCTAGGCATAGGTCCAGTCTTACCCCGGCGCTGCCGTGAGTCAAGTGTCTCCTCAAGTGAGGCATTATCACCGTCCAACTGGTATCCCTCCAGATCGTCTGTGTGTGTTTCCTCGCTGAAAGAGAAAGTGCGGTACTCAGTGTTGGACCAGCCGGTGCCTGGGAGAATGAAAAACAGCGTTAGCGGAATGATCCCTCACAATCGTAGCTTGTCACTTCACATACCCTGGTACTGGCTGCTGTCTTCCCAGTCTTCAGTGAAATAGTGCAAGAACCCGCCGTGCGTGACCATCACAATTTCCTTCTCCGGGCGGGCTTTCAACCAGCGACGGGCTGCACGAGCGCGTTCCTTGAGGGCTTTGTTGGTTGGGGCGTAACGACCGGATAGCTTTTTGAGAGATAAATGTGAGTATACCACATGCTGGATACTAATAGGGCAAACCCCGCGCTGTAGACAAGTGAGACACATACCTTGTTGTTCCACCCATCTTGTACAAGATCCAGATCAACTCCTGTGTTGAACTCCTCCTTCAGAACAGAAGGTTCGCTCCCGGTATCACAGGGAACATCCGAGGTCTCCTGAATATCGGGCAGGGCAATGATCTTCAAGTCTGGCTTTGACTCAAAGACAGGCGCAAAGCTCTCGAGCGCAGTATAGAGGGTGCGACGGAGGGGCGAGGCGGTTACCAGGTCAATATTGGCATGGCGGGGGAAATTCTCGCGGAGCGTTTGGCATTGCTCGTGGCCAAGGTTAGTTAGGAGGGGGTCTTGGATGACGTGGTTGGCGGTGCAAACATTGTGCAGGCCCTGTTATTATGTATTAGATCGACAGAGCAGTGAAGGGCCATGTTGCGAATCATTTGTCGAGGCTCAGGGACTTGGGCTGCGATCATTGTCACGAGATGGACATACTTGGGCGTGGCGAACGCAGTGAATAATTGGGGCCATTTTCGATGTTCAAGAGAGTATCAAGGGCAAGCTGGTAAATTTCACGTTAAAAACTTGTAGGAGTTGCACGAGTTGCAGATATTGAAGACGCTGAAGCGCTTATCGCGGGACGTGGGGGGTTGATAGCGGTGGAGGGCTTGGGCAAGGGGTACGGGTAAATCGGAGTGGCTTACAGAGTACTCCGTATATTTTGACCCAAAAAGAATTTGGGAATTCCAAAGAATATAATGGAGAGATATATGTAAAAAACAAATATATACAATTCAAAGAAGTGACTGTTAAGAGTCATCAACCCCCCGGACCTCAGAAGTCCGATCTGGTCTTATAAATTTGCGGAGCGCCACATCGTCAAGCGAACCACAGCTCTGCACTGGAGTCTGATGGAGATCTATAAATTTTGATTTGTCTATCTTAATAAGGGGCCTCCTTTATATGTTAAGTGGGAGGCCGAGTACTTCGGGGTCCTCTTTAGATGTTAAGTGGGAGGCCGGGTACTTCATGAAAATATGCTATTTGCACCATGTAAAATAGAATGCCAACACCATATCAATGAAATATAGAACAAATGGGTATGTATAGGAACAATGAAATAGACAACCTTTTATGCAACGCCGAATCCTTGGGCGTTTTCGAGAGCCTTGTCAAGCTTTTTCGCTAAGGCTTCCCTTGACGAGTACTCTGGCAAAAGCAAACGTCCGAAGCACGTCAAGCTGGTAGGAAGACGCTAGAAGAATAATCAGTATGACAATCCATATTATGTAGGTTATAGAAAGTTGCAGCACTTACCAAATCTCCGACGCCATTTTTCTGGATCACAAACATAATGCTTGATATTCCGTTGACAGGCACTCGGTCACTAGCAGTGACGAATTCGAGTAACTGGGCCCTCTTTTCATTGGGGTATTCCTGGATAATATCCCAGAAATCACGAATGACACGATGATCAGGACCAAATCCACCCTCGTACCGGGTATGGTTCTCGAGCTCTTCTACGTCAATTGATTGGATACCTTCTACCACGGTTTTCAGTGCTTCCGGGGAGAAGATGGACAGAGCTGATCGGTCCAGACACGTGTTGAACCCCCTCTGGAAGGCTTCAAACTGTGGTCGAATGGATTTGTCTGTGAGCCAGAAAATGTAATCCTTGACAAACTGGTGTCGATTTTTATTGGTCACAAGAGCAGCCTCTTCAGCCGGAGGTAGAGGGGACTGAAGTGGTGTGGACTCAGACACTGATTTCGCGGCCGTGCCTGAGTTAGGCTTGTAGGATGTGACATCGGTAGCCTCCTCGACTGTGACGGGAGTTGGTGATTTCAATATTGCAGGGTCGCAGTAAGCTGGCACATCCATCCAGGCGCTGGATCCCGCGGTAGGAGCTGGGGCGGTGATTTTGACTTTGCTGACGAGAGGCCACGCCGCATCACGATCAACCTTTTGCATATCGATTGTCTCAATGCTTCCAAAGGCTTCGAAGCTGAACTCGTAGGTTCGTGTGAAAATATCGCCGACATCGCCATCTTTCCATGCTAATAATGTATCGAGCCCTTGGCTGAGCTCCGGCCATCCATCCCG